CGATTTTAGTTTTTTTTTCCTCAATTTGTATTTTGCCAGTAAATCTAGTATATCAATTTTCACAACATTTAAATCTATTCGGAATTCTCTATTTAAGACTTCGTTGTCCTACCTAGGCTCTGAATATGGAAGTATTGAGTCAAACTACTTAAAGCTACGCTTGCTCGCTTGCTCTGCTAATTACACTAAATATGTCTACGGCTCGAAATATTCAGAGCGCGGATTTTTAAAACGAATAATTCCAAATGGTTACATATTACATATTTACACATTCTTACTCGGCTTCAAGCATTTAATTCTATACAAAACAGTGAATTATTTTTCTAGAGTTTTGCTCCTCGAGCAAGCACAGCCGTAGGTAATCTTCCTCAAAATACCCTTTTCAGAGCCTGATGAGGACAAAGCTAAGATGCTCGATAGAAATTTATAAGTGGATTAGAATGGTGAAACTTTGCAAGTACTTGCACAATAATCAAGTACAAAAAACGGAAAAAACGCGGATTGGCATTTTCTGCGTTCATTCGAAAGATTATCGCGAGTACTGTTAGTATCTATCTTGATTTACTGCAGCCAGTCATTGTTTATGAAACCTTCGTTCCGTGGAGGGCTTATCAATTTTACTTATCCGTTTAAGGGAAGGAACGAAATGGATACTTCCTTTGTTATTGTTTTTCTTTTTACTTATCTAAATTTAAACAATTTTATAATCCTTATCTTATTGTTTTTGTTACTACATAGTTTATTTTGCTGTGCTTGTTCATGCGTGTTTTTTACATATACTTTAACCGAGCTCCCTAAAATGCAGCATGTACTTGTTTGAGTAAAAATATTCACAATAAAGAGAGGAAGAAAGAGAGGAAGACGGAGAACTATTTTCAGATGTGTAATAAGCTTTATTCTCTCAAAGGTTACGATTCAACATCTAGTGTCGTTTATGCTTTTTTGCGTTTCTTCCTTTCTTTAAAGGAGCTTCGAGCGATTTGTTGAAAAGCATGATTGTTTTTCTAAGAATATGTTGACAATTAGTAGTTCTGCGCAATTTTTTGCTGCCTTTGGTTTGTTTAGCATACATTTGATTCACATTTCTAAGGTGCGCAGGTTATAAGAAGATTTGTTAACGCTTTCTCATCCAGAATAGCATCCTTCAGTTCCTAAGTCCATCTAAGGCGCCTTTGCGAAGCCAAACTTCATTGGATGTTTGATTGAAGGTTCAGAAACCATAGCTTATTTCTACAATGACTGAGGTTTTCATATCGGTAGCTCTATGGAAGAAGTCTATTATCTGCTTCCTTCCCAAACGAGAACTTATAAAAACAAGTTGTATAATTTTAGGCAATTTCTGCGTTTGCGCGTGGAATAGCTCGTTCTGTGCAGGATAGAACCTAAGCTAGACAATATAAACTCGTGCCCTCCTGTTGTGAGGCTCAGACAATCTCTCTCTACCGTATTCTGAAAAATTTTAGTTTTTCTCCTTTCAAACATCTCCAATTTTAATTTTACAAAGCTGAGACCATGTCAACAAACAGCACTTCCTAACAGCTCTTGAATGACCCGAAAAGAAGAGTAAAAAGCTGTGAAGTATTGGTTGGGTCAAGCATGCTTTTACGCTTTTTGTTTGTTGTATCGTATCCGCTGACGCGGGCGGACCAATTGACCTTCCCCTCTTTCTCCTCCATTTCTACTACGGCGATTTCTTTTTCTTTTACGTTTTGATATTCCCGCAGTAATCAAACAATGTCACTTGCACTAGTTTGATGAGGTTTGTCGGATTGAAATTGAAATTTGATAGAAAATTAGTCTCGTATTGGTGTTGATAAATAAAGAGGATGATTAGTGATCATGCTTCTTTGGAACCATAATGGAAAAACTAGTGAAACTAAAACAAAATCTAAAACAAATTTAGAGAATAGATTTTTTTTCAAGCCACTCACTAGTCGCTGCCACTTCGTCTAAGCGTTCCAAGAAACCATAGAAAATTTCTAAGCGTTAACCTCAAAGAATTTTTAGCCTCAAACTCATTACAAAGCAAATTAGCGGCAAAACGCTATAGAAGTTCTTGACCTAGTGACGAATTAGAAACAGGAAAAACTCTCCGAAGAGGACTTTTCAAAACGGCGAACTGCTCTTCACCCGCACTTGGACGTATACAACTAGATAATAGCCGATTCTACGGCTCGACTGCTTCATATTCTCTTTCTTGTTTAGAAATTTAGTCATTTGGGGTCGATTTACCACCAATTATGTACGAAATTTTCTGATATCCACAAAGAACCGCTTATCACTTTGTGATATTTGCAGTTTTTCAACTGAATGTATTTTTCACTCGTCTTTGTTTGAGATCCATTTGCTGTAGTGGTTAGGCAAACCACTGAAAATAGGGAAAATAGATGTTTGCCTTCTTTTCTTCGAAAAAAATGTAATACGCTTAATGAAAATTCCAAGTCCCATCAAAATTATAATTCATACAGCATCAGCTGTCTTGGACCTGCTATTTCAAATCAGCCTCCGTATCTTAACGTTTCAAAGGATTGATAAAGAGCAAACTTTGCCGCATTTGGCAAAAAAAACCTCAGAAATAATTATGGGTATTGGGACTAGGGTATTTATATTGCCAGAAAGCTCATAGCTGCTCTATTCTTAAGCTAGAATTTTTTGGATATAATTCGCAAAAATTTCAATAGGTCTATAGTTTTCAAGGACCAAACTTATTTGAAATGAATATCGTCTGGCAGATTAGATATGTACCATGATGAGCAATAAGTAATGGGAACATTTCTTCTCGAACTTATCCTCAGATCAAAAAAGAATATCGACAGATGAACGCTCTAGGCTGTATATGACTTTTTTCTTTCTTTCTTTCTCTTTCATCGTTTGTTTTCCAGCCAAGGTCAAAGGGTTAAAATGGAGAATTAGAAATTCGCATTACTGTTGACTTAACCGAATAAATCAGGGAATATCGTTTTGTATGTGATTTCTTACGTACATCTCTTTGGATGTCTTCCCCCTACTGACAAAGCATCAAAAAGAAAAGAGCTAAACTTCCCACCGATTTCTGATGCTCACTTTTCCAATTTAAAAACTTGGGAAAGACCTTGAACACAGGATATGTAATAGCTAGCTTGGCGCATGCGTTAACGACTATTCGTGCTCTAAAGAAAAGGCATTTCCCATTTCAAACTTCGATTCCAAATTCTCACTTGTCGTGTTCAGCAACAGAAAAAGAAAATTGCTGCACATTGTTTTTCTTTCCAATATGCTGAGCAATTTTTGACGCGTAGCTAGACTTGCTATGAAAACCAGTGGATCCAATTCTCAGCCTTAATTATCGCACCGCTTCTCATTTCTTCGAGGGTGCAAAGGCTTAAAAGATCAAGCTATAGCCCAATTTCCTTAGGAAATGGTGGGATGCGCATTGGACTGTGCGAGGACTTTTCAACGAGGAAGAAAGTCATCGACGGTAACGATGATTGCCGCTAGTTTGTGGCGCCGCCCTAGTGCAAGACCTTCATCACAACTTCCATTACTCTCTCTTCAACCAGCAAGGACGGAAATTCCATCATTCTGAATCTCCAAACTTTTCAACATAATGTTCAAGCAAAAATGTGCTTTTCTTTTACGAAAAGAAAAGTGTGTCCTTTTGGACCAGCTGTGGTGTTGTTGCTGTATATCGTTTCCTCTACATTGTCCAACTTCTCAACTCAGTTGAGGTTTTCTCAGAAATTGCTAAGCAGCCAATTTACTTCGAACTTGCTCCATTGGAAAAGCCAAAGCCTTGCTGACTAGACTCTAGTTCTCCAGACTGAGACAACTAAATTTCCGATTTCTGTGCATTGTATCATTTGAGTACCTGAAATTTTCAACACCTATGAGATATCCTTTATCCTAAGCATCTTCAACCAATTTTTCCTCATAACAAATGGACTGCCACTGAACTTTGGAGATTTGCAAAGCCAGCGCAAATTGCGTTCATGTTTGAATATTTTGAAAAGATACGGTAAAAAGCTTCACTGACTATTTTTCTATACTAGTCTCTACATAAAACGATCATCCATGAATTGACCGAAATTTCCCAAAATTTAGAATATCGTTTCAAAAATGTTCCCCATCCAAATGTATTGCCTCAAATGTTCCACTTGGCCTCAGCGCCAACAAGGATATCATTTCCAATAAATTCAAGTCTTAGCCTTAGCCTTAAATTCACGAGGAAATATGATAGAATTTTGAAGTATTAGTGATTTTGAAGAGCCTCAAATTTTCATTATTCGAAATTGGGATCAGGGCTTGGCACAGGTAGCTTGGCAAACAAGCTGGATATCGTTTAGGGTTAAAAAGCAAAGGAGGATTTCGTTTTTGTGGCCGAAACACAAAATTCGCGACTTGTTTTTTTTTGGTCGACGTTTCGTTTTTTGGAGATTTTTTAGGATTATGATTTAGGGTCAAAGGGGACTTCGTAAAATTTTGTAAAAGTCAAAGGGGGCTTCTTTTTTGCATTTTTCAAAGGCCACCTCGTGCCGAGCCCTGATTGGGATAAGTTGAACTGCAAAATGAGAACACAGGCTGTACATTAAATAATTTCAATCTTATTTTATTCAAACTTCGAAGGAAACTGATCTTGATGATGAGGAACTCAAGTTGTTGAAAAGCACATTCTTAAAGAAAATTCGCAAAAAGGATTTCTTCATTCAGAGTTTTTCTAATGAACTCTTCATCGTGTTCTACCTTTTATGAAACAATTAGGATAAAAATGGCAGTCGCCACAATTTACTTTTCCTAGTCTTTAGCCTCCTTTTATTTTTCCTTTCCTCTCTCTGAGCATTTTTTGCCCATTGTTTTTTGCCTCCGTAAACTAACATTCCTTCCGTGCTCTAAAATTCCCGATTCGCTTTTCAAGAATCGCACGCACTTTTTTCGTCAAACCTCAAACACAGCCAGTATTTAGAGACCGTCTGTGTCATCGCATGTCGTCGCGATTCTTTCGGTCACTACTCCTTTCCTTTTGTATGGGACTCTACGTGGCGGCAGAGACGCTCAATTATGGTCAGTTCAGGTGTTTCATACCCGGCGTTGCACACGCTTCCTGCGCGGATGTTATTGTAGCCAATTACTCGGTTTACGATGATGAATCACAGATGAAAGAACGTTGTGGAGACTTATTGGGTTGCCGCTTCCAGATCTTGAATGGTTCAGAAAAACTAGAGCTTGTTTGTGACTTAAGCTGGACCGATTATGCGCATTTGGCTGAACAGAAATGAGTTTCATAACGATTTGACGGCTTTCATAGCGGCTGTAATATGTCACATTAGTGCCAACATCGGATGTCATAATGGTTTGAGGATTTGATAAAGATTATGGTTGGTTTAACACAACCATTGGTGAAAATCGTTTAGCCTTCACATTAGATGGTGTAAACAAGGAACTTTTCTATGAAATTGGACAACTTTTGAAGGACCCAGTTCCGAATAGTTTCAGGTGTTTAGAATTTAATGGAATTACCGTATTGATAGGATCCGAAATTCTAATAGGTGCATATATCATAATATAAATAAGATCCTTGTATCATCTTTCTCTGCGAGCGCAATCATTCAGCTTATCTAGAAAAATTTTTGTCCGATGTAGACTGTAGTTTTTTTTCCATTTGGTACAAAATATTCGGAACTTATTGGGTAGAGTTGGCAATCGGGTTTTTTTTATAAAGACTTCATATTAAAAATTATTAGGATGTTCCATGATTTTTTACCGTATCTATCCTCAACATCAGCACTTCCCGAAAACTGGGGCACTTAGAAAGGGTAGAAGTACAGATCGTACTTTTGTATGTATGAGCTATATGATCACGTGTGTCGGAGAAGCTCAGGGCTTCTAGGGGCAGAGTTTTCCATTTTACTCCATTCATTTTTTTCTTTTTTTTTTCTAGCCATGGAAAAAATACGAAAAGGTGAAATTGAATGTTAGATGGTGCTGGGATAAATTGGGAACTTTTGAGATTTTTTGGGGCGGAGGTACGATTCTTGACGGTAAATTCGTTTTTGAATGCTATCAGATGTCAGCTCAGAACTTCACGTGAAACGATATGGGCAGGTTATTGATAGCCATCATGCAGACTTTTGATAAACTTGTAGGGCTTACTTTACCCTGTCGAATGAATACTTAAGCCACAACAATTGAAGAAAAGATACAAAAAGACGAAGGCTGTAGTAAAAATGGTAAATTATGGGACACCCTAATAGTTACACAACAAATTGTATAATTGATCTTTTGAATTTCATAGGTCATCTCTATTAGGTTGGCGGATAAATTCTGTTACACTTTTTTTGTAAAATTCTGAAAGATTCCAGAATCCACTAGAATCTTGATAGTTGCTTCATATGTAGGCTACGGCAGGGCGTACACAACAGTATCACTGATGCCGCAAATGCACAAATGCCTAGCGAGTTTACGACGACTTTATAAGCACACTCAAAATTGCCATTTTTTCTTTGATTTTTATCTTTGTGTTTAATTGTGTTTTTTTTGCCCATAATTTTTTTAGAACATGTTTTCGCATCGTCTCTTTTATGGCAGCACATGGGTGTTGCTAACATGCCAAAAGCAAGCAATGAAAACAAATTGAAAAAATCAAAAATTACTCGAAAATTTTCCTCTTCGTGTGCGTCGTGTAGGGTGTAGGGTATGACACGGAGAAATCGGAAATAGTTTTGTAAATTTTTGAAAATTATTTTTTATGGTAAAATTCGCATGCGCGCTGACATGGCGCAAATGTAGCTTATGTGATCGTGCGCGGACGTATTGTGCCATCCCCCTATGTTCGCTAAAAACTATGAACCAACCTGCCCGAATACGGCATCGCCCGGTCTCTTCCCGATCACCTGGTACAATGCCAGCCCGCCAAATAAAATATTCATAAAACGTCGTACTCCCACTGATGAATGGGTGTTTTGCACACGGAACGCGTATCTGGCAGTACCAGCAGGTAAACCTTCTGTCAACTCTCCTCAAACATGAGGATTTTTGAAAGTTTCTTAGATTTTTGAAAAAAATGGAGATAAAAGTGTAACAGAAATTAGCCACCAACCTTATATTACGGAACCTTTGTTTTGAAAATAGCGCTAAGCACAATCACATTTCAACATGTTTCTCCAAAAAACATACAAAAAAAAAGGTCTCTTTGTTCGAGGAACGAAATGCATGGCCAACTTAATAGAAATCACCAAGTATTAGAGCTCAGTGTACATGAATGACCAAAGAATTTAGCACTACTTATTTCCTAGTACAACAAATATTGGAATGTAAGGTTTGGGCAGTCTTAGCAAAATTTCAAACATTCTCACCTTTATTGAACTGCTTCTTTTTTTTGGGAGGGGGGTAATAACGTAAAAGTTAGGCTTATCCTGGACATGCTCTGCAATAATCGAGCAAATATAATTCAATAGACATTGACATCTGTCTAAGCAATCAGGGTGAATGTGCAGGAAGTTCCCATATGAATAAATAAGTGGAATAAATAAATCGTCTTGACCTACGCAGATTATTTCTTCCTCCAACAGAAGTTTTTTCCTCATAACATGATGCAGAATGTATTCAATTTCGAGAAAGTCTGTGGCCAAAAAATTTGCGAAACCGCTCAAAATCTGTGAAGCTCTCTTTACGACCGATATGGACAAAAATAGAAGCTTGATACTTGATGTAGATTAATTTCGAAAAAATGCGAACCATATTGCATGATTGTAACGTTCGTTATCAATTATTAGGTTGCGAAGAAAGTTCTGCCAATAGAGGTTGAGCTAAATTTTTTTCTTTACATCTTCAGCATGAGTGGCTGTCAATCAGCGGTATTTTACTCATGTGTACTGACACCTCAGACTACTGATTATGTATATCATGGACGTTTTTCTCCAATAAGAGAGCTGGCTGCTTTTCAAAACAGCTAGAGAGTTTGATTTTTTGAACCCTGATGGAAAAAGGCCTACATACCAAAGCGAGTTATAGCTATCGTTTCATCCAGTCAATACTAAGGCTATAAAACAGATTTTTGAATCAAAGCTTTTGCAAGTTTCGCGAGTCTATGATCTGAAAACGTGCATTTCGCAGCCCTGAGCGCAACATATTTTACTCTCCTTTTTTGAGCACTTCTTTTTAATTTATCGTCAGGGTCAAGCAAGAGGTGTGGCACACGATCGCTACGACCCCTACCCCCCTTCTTGTCTCTAAGACCCCCCGAAATATATACCTAAAATAGCGCTTCTTGAAGGCCCTGTCAAACATAACGGGCAACATATCCATAATTAGCATATCAATTGAGCCCTGTAAACAATGTTTGAGCGAATTCTGAAGTTTCCAAAATACTGGGTCACTTAAGCGAAATCGCCATTTTCCAGCAAAAATTAACTTTGTTTTAAAGGTGAAGTAGCTGCTGTTTTTGCACTCAAGACAAAGCACTACTTCTGCTTTGGCCACTTTAGAAATCTCGCTCAAAAAGACCTCTTAATTTTGGGATTAGAAGCCAACCAAACTTGTTCCCATTTTCTTTTAATGGCTGTGCTTTCACCAAGTATTACTCAGAGCTAAGATGACGAATCAGGCTCAAATCACTCCTATGAAATCTACTAGGTCTAGGCTATCAATATGTATAAATAACGTTCACCAAAAATGTTTTTTTGATATAGTCAATAGGGTGTGGCACCACCCCTAACAAGCTGAGGCTGCCACAGCTTCTTAGGGGGTGGTGCACCCCATTAACTCACCTTCAACCAGATCAAATAGCTGCGTTTTTTATATCGTTGTTACTGCTTGACCTTCTCCTTTACATAGCAGAAATTTATTTATTTATTTATTCATTTATTTATTTATTTATTTTGTACGCTCGTAGGCGTGCTGTATGTCGAATAGGGAAAAGGTAATTACAAGACAAACATCAATCACAGAGAATACAAAGAAGTTTAAATATAGGTTATGTACATATAAGTAGATATGCTAGAAAGGGACTTTAGAAGACATATTTCCGAGTAGAGATCCCGTTAAGAATTTCTGCAGTAACAATCCATCCTAGTCCGCCAACGGAAATGACCATAACAAGGCAGCGCGAGCACCCCGAGGGCTCGACAAACGGTTGCACCGGCAGCCCCCGCCAGCACAACCAAACGGGTGCACTGGCAGGGGGCCGCCAGTACACCCGCTTATCAAACCCTCAGCGCGCACGCACCACCCAGCCATGACCCCCGCCGGTGAAGAAGAGCAGATTGATGAGTCGGGTAAGGAAATTCAACAGAGTTAATCGTTACTCGGATATGCCTTCTAGAGCCCGCTAATTCAACTGGAATGAAAAGCACATGAGTGAATTTGAATTAAAGAGGTTACATGGAAAGACGAATCAACTGTTACACTTAATCAATCATCGAAACAAAGGAGAAAGTCAACGTGGGTAGGAGTGATGCACAAGCAGCCAAAGAAAAAAGAAAATCTGAATTACTATTCAACATCATATCATTCATCTAAAATTTCATATGAAAACGTTTTTTCAAGAGCAAGATATAATCATTTTTCTTTACCCATGCAGATGTAAGATGCTGGTAAAATACTGCGAAAATATTGGGATACGGTAACATGCTAAGTCTGCGCTACTACGTGGATCGCAATTGAAAGCGACAAGAATGTATATATTCGATAGCCTAAGCCTCGTAATCTACATTAAAGTGATTTGAGCCTGATTGATCTTCTCTAGCCTGAGATATTGAAAACGAAAAACGGAACAAACGAAATTTTGGCTTGCTCTTAATTCCTTAATTTGGAGGTCATTTGAAGTAGGATTCCTAATGTGAGCAAAGAAATAGTAGGTTCTTTGTGTTAAGCGCAAAAAGAAGTAGTTAACTTACCTAACAAAGTAACATTTTTGAAAACGACCATCTCACTTGGGTGGCCCTGTATGTGGAAACCTCAGAATACGCTGAAACTTGGACCACAGGGGTTATTTTATTTGCTAATTACAAAACGATGCTCTTATGATTTATAAATCTTTGATTATGCTTACTGTACGTATACGATAATTGGTCAAACATCAATGTGCTAGTATTTTGCATGAGGGCCTATTTGACATTGTTAACAAATATCATGTTATGCGAACAGCGGACGCCTTGATAACGACCCCCCCCCCCCTCCCCTCCCTGACTCCTCAATACGACCCCCCAGGTGTGGCATGCCACACCCCACGCTTGACCCTGTTTATCGTTATTATCTCAAAGTAAATAGCGTATTTGGTAGCTGAAGCCATCACACACTAAACACACCCCAAAAAAGCCTCTTGCATCCGCGTTCATTTCTGGCAGTTATGAGAAGAATTGGCGGAACTTTTCTAAAAACCTAGTATAATATTAATAAGCATTGGAAGATCTGATGGACACTGGAGGAAGATTTTTAGCAAGGTTGAATTCGTTCATATTCTTTTATAATATTTTTTAACAGAATCACCGAAACGAAATTCGCTAAAGAGAGTGGCCGAGTTGTTCACTATACCAGTTAGCCATGCCGTAAGTCTTAATGTGCAACATACTAATACTATGTGGAATTTTAAGTTTTCAGGATTACCGAAATCGTGCTCGAACCGCACGGGAACGGACCTATCGCCCAAAGATTCGCACCTTGAGAAAATCTTTTGGAGTAACCTCTCAAGTGGTTAAACGGGCGCCAACAAATTTAAGAAACATAACTGGAAGATCTCTAGTGGCGCTGAAACCACCTACTCATGCAGGCCAAGTCACTTCTGACACCGTGATACCCTGGAAGTGGCCAAAGCAAATGTCGACCAACACTACGTCATCTGAAGGCTTCTCAGGAGAAATCGATTCTTCTAATGATACTTTCATTGTCGGCAAAGAATCGGTTCCAAAGGTGGGCTCGCATATGTTGTGCAAAATGTTCTGCACAAAGTTGTCCGATTTTCTGCTACTAACCCTAGTGATAAATTTTTTTCTCTATGCGCAGGTGCCAACACTGAATGCGTAAAACTTTTTCTACTACAGTGCTGGCCATAATTATAAAGCTACTCTAGAAATCGTCGTAATTTTCGTTCTTGTCAATGAATCTGTCTGAAACTCTGCTGTATTGTGCGCATGTCAACCTACCATGACCTCCTCAAAACGGCTTCCAGTCTTGTTGAGTTTGAACGGACAAAAACGAAAAAATTTGAAAAATCCCTCAATGAAAGCTGAACAAAATTATGAAGCCACCTGGTTTTTCTAATCACTGTCGCATTCGTTGACTCTCATATTTTTTTGTACAAGTACATCCTAAAATATGAAACACCTGCAACATCTACGGCATGTCATCCTACTCATATAGAAGCGTTCACTGCATTTCTTGCTTTTGAGAGCATCAAAGGTCAATGTGTTTCAACAAACAGCTGGTTTAAGGACTTTTCAAGCTCTTATTTATTTCAGATGGTAGTCATAAAATCTACTGATTCTTTTTGATAAATGAAATGAAGAGCGCTTTCATAGACTCTGCGTAGTCGCCGATGTTGACGGACAAACTCCAACCTCACCATAGGGTTGACGCACTTTTGCACCACAAAACTCGATTTTCAAGCAACAGAAATTACTGTAATGTAGCCATTACGACAGCCATACAACAATGAACTTGTGCGCATGGCTAGGAAAAAATTTCGGGATTGAGCACTCTGGTTCAGCTGGTTGACATCCACTGAATGTTGAGTGGAGCACCCTGCACAATCACAGCCAACTCAGATCACGACATAAAACAGAAGACGCTAAAAACTTCAAAATCTTACAAGGGAATGGTCAGAAGTCGAAGTGGCCAAACCAAAGAAGCTGTATATCATTCGATGCAGTATAAAACACTGACTTCGAATCTGTCTTCCTTATCTGCTTCCCGCTTCTGTGGACGAAACTACAAGCGGTTTTTCTGTGAAAAAATCATACACAAAAACAGCGAAATTGAGCACATTGTTGCACTTTTCGCTCAGCTTCTGGCTTCAAAAATTTTAAGTAAGCTAGCTGCATGTTTTAACCCAGCATTGAGGCGAACGTGGCTCTGTACGGCTAGATTTTCAATTTCACGCATAATTTCTTAGCAAAATAATGGTCTTTAATGGCTTATAGCTTCGTCCAGAAAAGCGATAAGCAGGTAAGGAAGACAGATTTAGAGTGAGCGCTTCATGCTGCATCTAACGGTACCCAACTTGTCTGGAATGGCCACTTCGATTTCTGACCATTCCCTTGTTAGCTAATCTCATTCATCGGTGAAATATGACATGAAACACAGAGGAAAATAAGGAGATCTAAGGTTATATCGAATCCTCTGCTCGCAGGGAATTTTCATAAAGTGTTTTTCAGTTCTAAATCGCAACTGCATCACTAGGGAAAATCAGAAGCTCTTGCAAAAGCTGCATCACCATGTAAGATGTGTGATAAATCAAATCCAGCGCTCTATGAACATTGCAAACAGAATTTTGTGGAGTAAAAACATAACAGCCATATGGTGAGGTTGGAGTCTGTCCGTCAATATCAGCAATTACGCAGAGTTTATGGAAGCGCTCCTCACGTCATCTAACGAAAATGCTCAGTAGATTTATTGCTATCATTTGAAATAAACAAGGGCTTGAAAACTCCTCAAAGCTTCCTGTTAAACCAGATTGACTTTTGATGCTTTTGAAAGCAAAAAATGCAGTGATCGCTTCTAGTTAAGTAGGATGACATGCCGTAGGTGTTGCAAATGTTTCATATTTTAGGATGCATTTGTACAAAAAAATTTGAGAGTCAACGAATGCGATAGTAATTAAAATAACCAGGTGGCTTTATAATTTTGTCCAGCTTTCATTAAGGGCTTTTTCAAATTTTTTCGTTTTTCTCCGTTCAAACTTAACAAGACTGGAAGCCGTTTTGAGTGTTCATGGTAGGTTGACATGCGCACAATACAGCAAAGTATTGACAAGAACGAAAATCACGACTACTTGAGTGGCTTTATAATTATGGCCAGCACTGTAGGTTGCTAAGAAAGAGACGGGAAGTTTTCAAATCTGCTATTTTCTGGGTTGCAATGTGTCAAGGCAGCGCCTAGGCAGATTTGGACATATGGAGATCTCACGTGAGTAATTTTGGAAGCCTAACTAAGACACTGCCCAACCGGCAGCTCAGATATTGTTTTAACGACTAAGATATTCGCCTCCAAAATGGACTGTAAGATCGTATTTCGCATGGATTCATGGCGCAACCTACTAGTTTCGCGTGGATCCTCGTGCGAAAGCATGCAATTACAGCGCAAGTAGTCCGATAATACGCCTGGGGTCCTGTTTGGAGTCGTATACCTCAGCCGTTAGTGAGTCAATTGCCTTAGGCCGTGCCTTAGTTAGGCCCCGAGATTACTTTTCACGTAAAATCCCTATAGGTCCAGATTTGCCTGAACGCTGCCTTTAATTGTTGTTTAATGAGTGAAATTTCCAAATTACTGACTTAAGCATGTAATCAAAGATTGCGTTATTTTATCAGTACGTCTGTTACTGACCAAGCCAGTTTTGCCTATCAAGCTTTGGCAGCCCAGGCGCCCACGTGAGCATCTGCAGAGTAGGAGCTCGCGTCTGATTAGGATTACGGCTTGAACGGGAACACTTACCCGAAAGGGGGTTAATACAGGGTGTCCCCAAAAAATAATGTTAACACTGTTTGATCGTTAATAACTCTGTTGCATTCATGTCTTTTGCCGAGGTTGAGGCACCATTTTGTAGCGCGAGTTTCGACTTAGATTTTTAGTATGGAGCGAATCACCGCTCACTCTTTTCTGTAGGATTACGGTAAGAACTTCCAGCACGTGGAACCGTAGTGAAATATGCCATCTGACAAAATTTTCCTCATAAAATCTGTAAAATCGTGTACTAGGGTTTTCGCGCACGCTGATTCCACTACAGAACTTTCTACGAGTGTTTTCAGCTTTTTTGACGGTGTAATCACGTTTTTGACAGATGCTGAAAAGTTAGTTATAACACTTTACCTAGAATAACTTTGAAAATAAACATCACAGTAAAGTGGCAATTTCATATTCGAAATCAGTGACATCCATTACCATAGTATAAGAGACTTTGGCTTGTTTGGCTCTCTTTCGAGGCAGAAAATGGCCTTTAAGGGCCTAAAATCCTTGCCGAAATTCCTACCGTAATCCTACAGTAACCAAGAGCGAACGCTGATTCGCTCCACACTATAAATCTAAGTTGAACGTCGCTCTACACAATGATGCCCTAAGCTCGGCGAAAGACATGAAAGCAAGGGAGTTATCAACGATCAAACAGTGTTAACATTTCTTTTGGACACCCTGTACATACCGCCAGTGAGCATAAAGGGTGCTAGGACATTGCCATACAAAGTGAGATTTTCACTGTTTTGCGTGATTCAGCGGAGATCCTCGGGGAATGCCGTAGTTTCACTTTGTCATTTTTTCCTAAACTCGATGTAAACGTCTGCAACATTACCGAAAACCTATTGCTATCACGGTTGAGCTAGGCATGATCTTTAGAACTCAAAATTTTCGATAAGCCACTGTTTGCAATTTGCGAACTGAATTATTGAGGAACTTACAATCTTCATCCATTTTCCTGCCGAAAACATACCCGTAAAAGCCCTAGTTTTTCACTAAAATTGCGACGTTTCCAACGAGCTTACGGGAAGATAGACGACTTCAGAAACTACGGCAATCCCCTGATGATCCCCTAGGGGATAACACAAATTTTCGAACATTTTAAACTTGTTAAAAATGTGCTGGCATCCTGCATGCTCATTTATCGGAGCTTGAGGACTTTCATACGATGATTAACAAAAAATAGAGATATCTGAAGTAACGAAATGGGGAGTATGCCCTTTTGCATCGCTCCGTTCTAGCGCTAATTACTTTGCCCCAGGGAGCCGGCTAATTACATTACTCCGCCTTTCCTAATCTAGCAGACATCCCAAATATTTTAGTCTCAAAACAAGCAAGTGCACATTTTCGAACAATAACATTGACAATGTTCAATTTACGAAGACAAGATTTGAGGTGGTTTTTACTCGCTATTCCGGCTTGCCTTCCTATCTAGTTCTCCAAACACCGTAAATTCTGCACGTGTGGCCCTAAAAACCTACTCAAACAAACAAGTTACATTCTTGAGTCTTATGTAGAACTCAAAATCTTCTATGCTTCTTCTCTCTGGGAATGTGCTATTATGTAACTCGTCCAATTCAGAACGTTTATGTCTTTAATGACAGCCTAGTTGTCTCGCGGTGGCTGACCAACCAATTAGAGGCGCGAGGTAAAGAGGCTGCCAAGGCGAGGTGCAAAAGGGCCGCCTCCATATAATTTTATATCACTCATTTAGGTTCTTATGCATGTACATCCCCCGCTGGGGGAGGAGGGGGGCGCTGACGTGCTAAAAGTAGTACTCAGGTCCCGTTCCTTCCCTTAGGCGAAGCTTCAACTTCTACTTAGCGCTAAGATGTGATACAAATTCCACTTCCAATCATAAGAATCCTTTTCTTTTCGTGTTCTTGGCTTACAATCCTCAATGTTCCGTTGCTTGCGCATTATGACTGAGTAGGACCTTTCATGTGTTCGAACCTCGCGAACAAAGCAAATGGCCCGTTCTCTTTCGCCCTTGCTGGCAAAGATACTATTTCGGCAGTCTCTTTTTGTCTGTTTACATCACACCCTTTGCCACAAGCTAAAAACCCAGATTCGGTGAAGTAATCGATAAACCTTCGCAATCATCATCCTTACGCCCCTGATGCGTGAATTTCGTTGACAAAGCCACGAAACATTTTCCTTGCACTTTCCTTGCTATTCTTCAAGTCTCGACATTCACAATCTATAAACATATTGCTAATCTTTATCGCAGATGGTCGCGTGGATCCCTATGAAGCCTACTGTTTCATCACAAAGCGTTACAATTTCCGACTTACTAGCTCCTGAAGCCTCGGCATTCAATAATACAATTACATTAATCAAAGAGTTTATCAAGGACAATAAGAAGAAGATAAAGAAAAGGCGCGGAAACAAGAGGAGACAGGTATTTCTGTTTACGTTATGCTCATAAATTCGAAATTCAAATTTCAGGCGAAATCCGCGCTAACTTTGAGGGCTCCCGCAGATAAGAGTATATACATTGAAGAAAACGCTCGGCTCAATTATAAGGCAGGAGATTTGGATAAGGCTCTGCAGACAACAGGGCATTCGAGTAAGGACCCGGCGCACTTACCTTACGCCATTGGGCTGCGAAAACGAAAAAGACCAGAAAAGTCTAAAATGGTGAGTCTGCTGTATGTAGTATCAGATTTGCATAGAGAAAGCTTATTCTTGCTGTTCATTCATTCACTGATTTCATTGAGAGATGAAGTCATCAAAACAGGATGAGTTTAGAACAGGCAAGATAATAGCATGAAATTGAACAAAGAAATAAATAAAGGCTATACTGAAGCGTCACGAAAGGTAAATTCATTTTTTAGAAGCGGAGAGTGGAAATAGAGGTAAGCGGTCATGCATAACTTAGACCCCAGTAAAGACAGTGTCCGAACAGATCTGGACTTTCCCGGCTACTATCTAATACAATCGGATACTGGGGCTTGAGAACTATTGCACCAACTCAACCTCCAAACACCATCGTTTGAAGGAAAAATCGGCGCACACATTATTACAGCCTCGAAAATCCGCCCTCTCCCTCGCGCGGCTGATCTCTTCAAATGAAATCTCATTACACCTTAACCTGTTTTCACATGGCAAGCACAACAAACGCACCAAAATGACCTGTTAACGCTTTCTGAGACAAGAATAGCGCTGAGGCACACTGTCCACAGCTCTCACAATTTGGTTCTAAAAAAGGTTTTGTTGAAAGTAATTCACTCTTTTTGAATCCCATTGAAATGCCATGAAAAAACCTAGATAACGCAAAAAATGGAGGTCGAGAATGTGCTGGGACGCTGCTTTCAAGCTGCGGAAAGAGCAGTAAGAAACGACTTGCACGAATATGATCGGTTAAAAAGGTATGGGTACTGATCAAGCTACGCCAGAATCGCCTTTCATATGTGGCTGAGAGTGGGGCAAAATTAGGATCGAGTACACCCATGAATCTGAAACTAGAAAGAAAATTTTTTCTGGCTCATTCTAAAACATTTTGCTTGCTCCACTTACTCCTGCGATGTGTAGTCTCAAGAAAATTGCAGCAGCGCAACTGCTTTTTTAAAGATGCTGCTGAAGCATTGAAACAGAGAATTTCTTGAAGTTGGTACTCAAAGAGGAGCAAGGCTTGACGTCGCCACTTCTGTGCTTTGCATTGTCATGACCCTTCTCTGTTAGGCTGGCTTTATACTCCTGAAGTTCCAAAACAGTTCCAGCAAAGTCCTCGCGCTGTTCTAGAACTGTTCCTAGACTGCGCTGCATCCACAGGCATGCGGTTTTCAGCGGCACGAAGGCAATTTTTGATTTTCTTCAACGGTTTTCGTAGAATATTTTGCTCGCTTTTGCCTCATTCTTATACCATTTGATTCAACTGGCTTGGCTTCGGCAAGGCGGGCTTCGTAACCTAATTAAGGCTAGCTAACGGTCAAAGAGCACTCGCGCGAAAGAAACGCAGGTGCGTCGCGGGCGCGAGTTGTAATTACGTCATAGAGCTCCGCTTTCCCGAAGCCAAGCTAGTTGAATCAAAGGTTACCTCGCTTGCTCTTGCAATGAAAAAAGTTCCAAACTTGGAAAGAGGTACAAGAATGAGCGCTATTTCGTTGTGTACATCAAACCAAAAGCTATTTCAGACTGACACCGCTTCCGTCCATGTTCTCCAAGTTTGGAGTCCTTTCATCAGAAACGCGGTGATCAAGAACGAACGCAAGCAACGAGCAGTATGAGTTGTGAAAAGCAATGGGGCTTAAACGACCAAATGCCAGATCTCATCCAAACACGAGAAAAATTAGCGATCTCCGCGATCATAGTGATAATAGCAGTTCTCTCTAAGACAGTTCGTAGTATCGACGATGCAGCGACATTCCAAAATACAAAGAGAAGTTTGACAGATCCACACAGGAGAAGAGATGCGCGAAAGAAAATATATCTTCTAAGCACGACAATAAGTGGAAAGCTTTATTCTCGAACCTTGCTTCAAGTTCGGAATTCTCTACATCGCGAGAGTAAGCAAGGTTGGGCCGAAAATGCGCAAAATATACAATCAAAACCGTTCAAGAAAGTCAAATCTGTAAATTCGCCCGCACAAAACGCATGCAGGCGGCTACAGTGCAGGCAGCACAGTCCGCAACAGTTCGACCACAGTGAGACTTATTGGAACTGTTTCGGAACAGCCTTGCTCTATTCCTTTACCATACACATACTTCTTTGTCGCTGTTGAAAAAATGGATAACAGAATTAATTTCGGTCGCTCCATTAGCTACAGTAACTCATAACTTTAAGAAAATGAGAAAGTGGTCGTTTATAATCTAACTCTAGATCATCCGGGTAGAAACAACCTGAACAGGAGGCAAGCACGTGACGAGCGCAAGCCGTCGACAAGCATGGATGCGGTAGCGAACAAAGTCAGCATAACCGCATATGGCGAGCATCCCGATGTAATCCTGATCGTTGCTAATTCAGTCAAACTGGACAAGCACTACGGACAATTATGAACTGAGGTCCAGCGAGCTTCATGCAGGCGTCCAAAAACGCGCTTTGAACCCACTCATTTAGCTTTGAGCAGGAGGTAGTTTGTCATCCAAATTCTTGATTTTCGCTATGCCAACAACGAATCTGTCAAAACATCAAAAGGCTCCACTAATTGCGGCTTTCAGGAAAACGTGTGCTAACATGTCATCCTAAGCTTTCACGTTTCGTGAATCTCATAACGATGTTTTAACTTGCACATCATGATTCAAGGCGCTTGAGCTCGTAAAAATCGTGACCGCAAGCATTGCCCTAGATGCACATCGCAGGCAATGTCATAGTGATAGCTCCTGCTCGACTTGACAAAGCCCAAAATAATACCTCTAAATGTTGGAAAATTTTGGGTTACGTTCAAATCCTCAGCGTGGATCGCAGAAACTATGCATTGTCGTGATCAAAAATTTGGTACTATTTCAAACCTCCACGGGATTGAATCCGTGAGTGGAGACAAAAACTAAGCGGCTCGAGAAAAGTATACAGGTACAGAAAAATTTAAATGCGATGTTCCGACCACTTCACGGTGAGCGCTGACTCCGGCATTGATCCTCTGCTACTGCTTCAGATCCTGACCATAATGCTGAGTTGCATCTTGTCATTGGATAGTTGTTCAAAGAATGAGCGCTATAAGCGCTTGAACTTATTTCAGCACATAAGCAATACGACCTCTTAGTGATTCGTATGCTGTGAGGTTTTGTTTGGCCAGTCTATAAGGATCTTATATAGGGTGTTCCAAAAAGATGTGCACACTGTTTGATTGTAATAACTCTCTTGATTTTATGTCTTTTGCCGAGCTTGAGGTACCATTCTTTAGAGCGAGGATCAACTTAGATTTACAGTATGGAGCGACTTATCAGCAGCTCTTCATTACTGTAGGATTACGTTAGGAATTTCGAGGAGGTTTTTTAGCCATTGAAAGCGGTATTTTGCCTCAGAAAGAAAGCCAAACAAGCCAGAAACTCTTTAACTGGGTGAATCGGAGCTGCTGATTCTAAATATGAAGATTGCACGTCAGTACACAGTTTTTTTCATGAGTTATTTCAGATTTAAGGTAACAACTGATCTTAAAATGTTTGTCAGAAATGTGAATACGCCATCAAGAAAGCTCGAAAAACTGGTGGAAAGTTATGTGATGAAATCAGCACGCCTGAAAACCTTGCTACACAAATTTTTAGACTTTTTCGAAAATATTTCATCAAAAGGCTTGTTCCACAGCGAAGCTGTTTGCTGAAAGTTTATACCGTGATCTTACAGTAAGGAAGAGCGATTAGTGATTCGCTCCATACTGTAAATCTAAGTTGAACCTCGCTTTACAGAACGGTACCTCAAGCTCGGCAAAAGACATAAAAGCAAGAGAGTTATTAACGACTAAACAGTGTGCACATCTTTTTGGGACACTCTGTATATATAGCTGAATGTCTGTTTGTATGTATGTATGTATGTATGTATGTATGTATGTATGTCTGTATGCACTTATGTTCCGAATAGGTTCCATTTCTGAACCGATCCGGACCAAACTTGACACACATACACTTCGGGCCCTGGCGGGTGTCATAGGCTACTTTTCGTCATCGATCGACATCGATTTTATCGATTTTTATCGATTTTTTTGCAGAGTTCACCTACGGGGCTGGGAGTTAGCACAGGGGGTAATCGAGCATGGAGATTCCGAATACAATATTAGTTTTCAGGATTATCGATTACTTTTATCGATTTTATCGATTTTTTTGCAAAGTTTGACCTACGGGGCTGGGAGTTGACACAGGGGGGGCAATCGAGCATGGGGATTCCGAATACAATATTAGTTTTCAGGATTATCGATTACTTTTATCGATTTTATCGATTTTTTTGCAAAGTTTGACCTACGGGGCTGAGAGTTGGCACAGGGGGGGGATAATCGAGCCTGCTGAATACGAGTTCGATATTAGTTTGGCGCTATTCGGCTATCCGGGCCCCAAAATTTTTTTTTGCGGTAGAGCTTGCTCAAACTTCGTATATAAGGGTTATCTTACATGCTGATTACAGATAACACACTTTCTCCGCAGCACGTCTCCGTGTGTTTACGATAGGTGTACGATAGGAAGTCAAAATCATGAATTCGGCTGGAGTTCGGTCCATAGGCTTATTCGACACTAATTACGAATATCATCTCTCTCTGCATATTGGGTCCTTTTCATAGAGTTGTGGTGGTTATATGGCATGGGGTCGCAAACATAGATTTGCTTTAAACTTCGTCTAGGGTGGTCATTTAGCGCGCTGAACATGAATATCATGCTGATTTCGCAGGATAGTGCATTTTCTTGGGTTAGGGTGGGTGTAGATGGGTCGAAGTTCCAGATTTGTTCAAAACCTTACCTATAAGGGTTCACAAGTATATCGCTTAGGAATATGATGCTTGCTCGCTGTCATAACGCAATGAAGTTATGGTGGGTTTCAGGGTTTGAATGGACATTTTTTCGCTTTTGGGCCAATTTAGATCCCAGATATTCACGAAATGGGGAAAGGGTCGTTTTGCATGGCGGTCTCCAGCGCCATCCTGATAACCTGTCCCAACGCGTAACGCACGCGGCAACTCTCCCTCCCCCTGTTTTTGCTTAGGCAAAAGCCGCCGAAGGGTATCTGGCGCGCCGCAGTGCTATAAGGGAAAGCATTACGGTCGTGGGAAACTTTTATACCACACGAATTGCCTTTATCGAGGGGATTGAGCACGATATTCTTGAAACAGCATTTTAGGTAATTTTCTGCCAAGGTTTCAGGTAGGTTCATGATTTTTACCCGCTGCCATGTACCTACCGTAACTCTGCGAAAGGGTCTCGAAACGCAACGAGAGTGTTCTAGACGTGGTCGGAAGGTCGAATCTCTCTAGACCGAGTTTCAGCCAAAACTGAGATTTCGCCCCTCTGCAGTATACCTACCATAACTTAGTGAAATCGCCTAAAAATGCCGAAGGAGTATGATATTCGTAATCAGCATGTCAATTAGCCCCCTCAAAGTTTCAGCGAAATCCATGATTTTAGCTTCTTATGTGTACCCAACCAAACCCAGAAAATGGCGCTATCGCGCGAAATGACTACGATATTCGTCATCAGCGGCTTTAATGATCCCCATGTACCGACTTTGGCAAAATCCATCACAAAAACATTTTGGGGCCGGATAGCCGAATAGCGCCATCAGTTTTCAGAATTATCCTTATATCGGTTTTATTGCTTTTTTTGCAAAGTTTGAGCTACGGGGCTGGGGGTTGTTGAGGGAGGTAGGTGGGCATGCTAATTACTAACACAGCGGGAATAGGGGATTGCATGTAGAAGGGGGCACAATGAAAGGTTTTACAGAAAAAAGGGATAAGACCTTAATCATAGCATTGACAGGGCCGTGCGGAGCCGGGTAAGCCAGCTAGTGTCCCATAATTTTTTAAACGATTTTACAACAATTGTAGTTTTCCTGTTTCTTTCCTTTCTTAAGTGCAGCTTGGATAACCATATAGTAGAGCAGAGTAAGGTCTACAATATGGCCACCAAGCAACCGCCTAAATCGTATCCCAAATAAAGGTTATGACGAAATTCTGATGGTGCTCAAGAACGGAATTTAGTCAATGCAAGGACGTCGACTCCCGCCATGTCGATTTTGGCCTGATTGGGATTGGGACAGATTGTATAGGGTGCGGAAAAAGTACTGTCCCTCCAACTTGGCACCTGAAATACCCCAAACATAAAGTAAATTTGTAGTTTAATTCGCACACGTAGGCGAGATCCTTTAGATTAGATAAGGATAAGTTTGATTTGAAACTGTTCCCTTCTGTCCGTTTGAACGAGTGATAACAGGCGCAAGAACATTAGCGATGCGCCGATAGCATACAAGCGCGATTTTGGACCGTAACTATACCATCAGCATCGATATAAGGTTCTAATTAAGCTGTTATGTAATGCATGACCCCTTCTCCAATATTCTGTACTCATTATAGATAATTTATAGATTAGTGACTCTTGTTTCGGCCAAATAAGGAAGATTATCCACACGCAAATCGCAAAAATTCTCGAAAAAGAGGCGAGTTAGGACTGCGCTTTCTTAATGAATTGGACTCAAACTATGATTCGAGATTCCGATTCCAACAAAAAGTAACAGGAATAATGAAAAGAGCATCGGACTTTGTCTACATCACGATTTTGGAGCGATAAACGATTATACCTAGTTTCTGTGCCACGTTTTCTGATCGCACTCTGTTGCGCCGCAGCCACTTTCTCGTTAGAAAAATTCACAGCATTTCTCCTAATGCAAGTGCTGACTGGATACTTTCAGAATATTTCGGGATCCACTACCACATTCCTTGGCAGTAGAGGATTTCTCAAGTTTGCGTGACAAACAAAAAAATTTCTCAAAAATCCTCACACTTCTTCAGATTTGTAAAGGGAAGTTGCAAGATTTAATATGAGATGCGCTGCGAAAAGGGATCCGCTGCCGGGTAAAATTGTAGAATTTAGAATTATGTCAAATTTACCAGAAAAACCTGTGAATTAAGCCAATTTTTTAAACTTTATATTGAGGGACAGTACTTTTTCCGCACCCTGTATATCCTAATATGAAGGGAAAGAGGTTCGGCGGCTTCAGTGATAGAATAAACGTAGTTCTTTGAGAAGGTGAATTGATGGGATGCGGCATAACTCCAAAAAAGGCGTAACAGCCGCATTTTCTGGGGTTGTGCCACACCCCTCCCAGGCCACAAAGAAAGCCTGATCTGTATTCTTCCTCCTGAGCGATAGTTGCCGAATTCACAACCAAAAGCAAAAAATGCTCTGAGCAAGGTTTTAGCTGGCTTCTGATTTCATTGCTTGGAGGTCATTTGAAGTGAGAATTCCGCCGCATACTACGGAGTTGTTTTGCACTGAGTAAAAGAAGGTAGCTAACCCTCTTACTAGGGAAAAATACTTGGTCTAAATGGCAATTTTATATGAGACTAGCTGGCTTACCCGGCTCCGTACGGTCCTGTCAATAATATGTAATCAGCATGCTCGATTATCCCCCTGTGCCGACTCCCAGCCCGTAGATTAAGTTCTGCAAAAAATCGATAAGATCAATATCGATCAATAACGAAATGTAGCCTATGACACCCGCCCGGCCCCAAAGTGTATGTGTGCAAAGTTTGGCCCGGATCGGCAGAAATAAAAATTTCTATTCGGAACATACGTACATACAGACATACAGACTGACAGACAAACAGTCAGCTTTATAAATAAGATGTACACTATCTCATAGAGGCTGATTACAAATCTGCTTTCGTTATCTGAAAGCGCTTCTGGGAGAGGAGTTCTGGGAATTTTTTTAAAAATTCAGATTTGGCTAACAAGGGAATGATCAGAAGTCGAAGTGACCAATCCAAACAAGCTGTAATTTCAAATCTTCCTTCCGTATCTGCAGAGCGCCTTCGTAGGCGAAGTTATGAGCAGCTTTACTGCGAAAAAATCGTATACAAAAATTGCGAGACTAAGCACACTGTTGCCGTTTTAGCTCACCTTTGAGTATGAGCCATATAAAGAGACTAGTTGCATGTTTTGGTCCAACACTGAGCCGAGAGTGGCTCTGCACGGCCAAGTTTGACCTTTACACGCACGATTTTCTAGCAAAATTATGGCCTTCAACGGCTTATAATTTCAGCCACAAAAGCGCTCTGCAGATAAGGAAAGCAGATTTAGAGTTGGCGTTTTATGCTGCATCTAATGGTATGCAGCTTGTATGGATTGGCCACCTCGACTTCTGACCATTCCCTTGTAAGATGGGAATAGGTGTTTAGGTCTTTACGACGCCTTGAGGGTAGTGATGACTAACATGAGTTTATTAGAATGAAGATCTTTATTCCATGAAACGTCCTGGTAGTAATCATGGTCTCACTTGAGATCACGGACCAGGGTTCTGAATGATTTTATCGTAGGGCGCTTTGAAATTTTTGCATGAAAAAATTTCCATAACTCTTCTCCCAGAAGCGCTTTGCAGGTATCGAAAGCAGAATTCTAAACACTACGCATTTTGTATGAAAACGCCACTTCGACCAAGTATCCATCCTTTGTTGGAAAAATCAAACATGTCCAATAAAGAACTACTTTTGCCAGTAGCACAGTATTTGGAAAATTCAGAAATCGCTCAAAAAGCTTGGTCAACGGGGTTTCTGGAGCGCTAAATAGGAAAATGATACGTATCATGCTTTATAAGGCCTCCTTATGCTCACGGTTGGTAAACGGTAATTCAGAGGTGTCTTATTGGGACCAAACTCAGGGGCGGTGTCGTATTCAGCGGTCGTATGCCACACCTCTGCTCGATCCTGCTGTCTTACCAATTTCTCGTAACCTTGACCCTGCCGACTGATTGCGTCAATAAGCATCTTGATCGTAAATGGCCGTTCATTTCGCCTACAGCCGCTTCATTTCATATGATCATGTGTGCCATTGCACACACAGTCCACTTTGGCGTCCTCATCCCGGATTTGCAATCGCAAAAACGCAAAAGACTTACCGATTGTTATCGATTACATCAACTTGAGGTGACTAGTAACTAAAAAGGAAACAAAATGCTAAGAACACCTTGGAAACACTTACCTGAAGGCTTGTTTCTCCCACGAATCCGGGATGGGGACGCCAAAGGTGAACTGTGTGTGCAATGACACTCATGATCATATGAAATGAAGCGACTGTACCTGCTCAAAGATCGCATGTCATTGCCTAGAATTTAAATGGTGCAGCAATGACTGATCATCGAGAAATGAGATGTATGGAAAAAGCTATAATGTATCCAAAGATACAACGACTACAATGTAGGAAACACTCCAGAAGGAGTCTAGAGCCAAAGGATTTCGCGAAAATCTCCTGCTTGCATCGAGAAAAATTTAATTTCAGAAAGGGACACAGGAGGAGTATAAGCAGCGTATTTCTCGAATTTATAACAGCGTGGTAGCTATCTTTTGCGTGCTTTGCTAGACGATGCTTGCTCACTGCGTTAGCCCACGTTCAGGCTAAAAGTACATACCATTACCTACGTGGCTGTTGAGTCTTGCTCGAAATCAGGAACTTCAGACAGTATAAGAATAGAATAGACAGTCCAAGCGTTCCCATACACCAAGCATGTTTAGAAGTATCAATCTCAGGAAGGAACACTAGCGAAAGGACCTGGACCGTCGATAGGAACACAATCTATTGAAGATTTGGGTGCTCGTATAGAGGCTGAAGAAGCGGAAAGAGTACGAGCTGATGGCGAAAATCCTTTGAAGTACATGGTGAAAGATGGCATTCTCTTCAAGAAAAATAAAACACCCGTAGCAAGGTAATTTACAAAATACAACTCATCATATTTCCAATTTGATCGCGGAAAACTGGTAGATTAAAAAAGCAATCCGCTGATAAATTGTTATCAAAACCATCTTTAGGATTAGTTGTTGACTTACCAAAACCATCTTTAGGATTAGTATGTTGACAAAGTTCACTGATGAAGCAGCCGTGCCAATGTTCACTGATAAAGACCATCACAGATGAGTTTAATAGGTTTAGCAGAATCCCACGGTGACGGTGGTGGCATTTGCCCATTTATCTGAAAGAAAATTGCGATTGCGCGTTCTGACACCCAAACAAAGTGGGGGTCCAAAATTTAATAGTATTTCGCTTACAGGATCAGCATACCACATGGAATGGACACGAAGCTCGGAATGAGCAGGAAAATACCGCAGACGATGGTGGTAAGCAAAGCTTGGTCATCTACATCAAATTTGTCAACATATATACAAGTGAGACAATGCACAATCTTATTAACATTAGGTCATCAAAGGCAAAACTTCATGCGGTGGGATGTCAGTGATGGCACTGAAACACTTTGTTTTCTTTGCATCATCTCATTCAGGAATCTTCGCCATTCATCTCTGAATTAATGCCACCAGTCAATCACGGTGCACCTGTTATCCCAAAGATGCTGAGTACAGTACGGCCAAGGCCAACCCCTCCACATAGTCCTGTATGGTTAATTTCCTCTCGAAACTTTTGCAGAACTGAAATCCTTTAGCCTACTATAAGTCTCCAACAATCACTTTTCCTCAAAAATTCAATCGGTCCAAAGAAGAAACATCGAGAAGATCCGTCGACAGCGTTGCGATCAAGCAGAACATTGGAAAAGGCGCTTGGTTCGCCACCCATCGACTTATCGCCAAATGATCTCATACAGCATGTCCATTCTCCACCTCCGTATCCATTCAGCCACTGCTACATGAATGTCGATGGTGAGATTATCAATTCGGATTGATACCGAGAACTCTAAAAGAGCTTCTACAGGTTTTCTGTGTTGTAATCGCTACCTTGAATCACTTATGCGAAGGAGTTTCCGAAAACTGCGAAGGGCTCACAGATTCCATGAATGTAGCGTGCAGAAAATCGCGAACAGAATACAAAAGGATTGCGAAAATGTGTACGTGCTAGATACTCGGTTGTCCCCAATTAGATTCTAGACTTGTAGTTTCAATACAACTTTCGAAGTGGTCGTTGGTATCGACGATTTCGCAATACGCGCCCATTTCGCTGGTGACTTGATGTGCAAAATCCAAGAAGGAGGACGATTCGTCAGCTCTTACGCGACAGTCATGCCAGTGAGTTTGTTGTCTGAACAAGTAGAGAATTTGTACTTTTTCGGGTTAACTAAAATTACCATTACCAATGGAAAGAGACAGCCTTACGAAGTTGAGTAGGAATCTCAGATCTAACCATAAGCGGAAGAAAATTGCTAGAGAACCAGCGTGATAGATATCTGTAAAACGCGATTTGTCCTGAATGCGAGAGTACGCTGTGCACGATTGTCTCTCACTTGCGGCTGTAATAAAATAATATCATATGAGGCCTAATGACGGACGACTTGAAGCGTGAGGCAACAAACAAAAGACTAGCAGATGCAGGTCACATATGTGAATGTCCGCATCTATGACTTATGGATCGCTGATTTGGGCTCATTCGTTGTGCTGATCTTGACAATGCATTTGAAGAAAGAAAAAGCGGAGAAAACAGGTTTCCGGAGACCTTCAGGTCCGGCGAAGATGATTAGGCTCCCACTAAGGATAGCCACGCAGATTTGCTACCAGTAGACTCTTGTAATTATAGAATTTGCATGCCGGTACTCTAGCATTAGAGGGGAAAACCTCCATTTGGGCTTTGGGTCAGAGAGGATGCTTGGGCTAAACTTGGTGTACGTCCTCCAAGGTTATGTTCTGTAACGCTCTATGGCCCACATGGAAAGCCCTCCGTCCTACCATTATGAGACGTGTAGGTCCCCAGCTCGATAGTAAGGACAGCTATGCAACACATGCACTATAATATTAGCTATGAGGGAACAAGGAACCTTGTATAAGTGAAGCTCAGTGTCTTTTCGTATGATGATTAGTGTACGTATGTTAGGACCAAACTTTGCACACATATACTTCCGGACGGAGCGCATGTCGTAGGCTACTTTGCATCATCAATTTACATCGATTTTGTGAATTTTTGTAACCTTTGAGATGTGGAGCTGGAAGTTGGCTTACAAGCGTAAATGAGCATGCTTATTACGAATATAACGTCCGTTTGTAAAAATACTTACTACTTTCGTCGATTTTTTCGCAAACTTTGAGGTGGAGGAACGGGAGTTGTGGCACCTGAGTAAGCATGCGGATTGGGGGGCAGAACCTTGCGCATGGTAGCTGAACAAGTATAGGAAACTGTTCAGGAGTAAACGAAATGGTAAGATCCAACTGGTGTGTGGACAGGGACCGAGGAGCTGGCATGCCAGTGATACTATTGGTAGATAGAACGATAGCAAGGCAAGAGGCAATTCTTTAGGCATTTACACAATCGCAGATCTAACATGGTGAAACACACAAAAAAGAGGAACTGTTGAGATTCGAAAAAAAGTTAGAACCAAATGTGAGGTGGCTAGATCAAGCGGGTCATGTTCACAAGATTCTGACTTCTTAAGCCCTTATGCTTAAAAGTTGCTGCGACGAGGGAAAGGGTGTTTCCCGTTATGAAGCGACCGCGGTCAAATGCCGCCGCGGTCTAGCATTGGGAACTCCGCTCCCCTCCCCGCATGGATGTTCTACGGGCCTTGGAGGATGAAGGGGTAAGGAAGAGGATCATTTTACTCAGATCGCCTAGATGCGCGTCCTCACCTATGGTGCTGGCGCAACTTTTGACCATTTCCTTCTCTTTCGGGAAATAGTCATCCGTAAAGGTCTTGTTGCGCGGTTGCCATCATTTGTTCTTGCCATAATGACCGGCCCAGTCTTTCAAATCGATACATATGCTAGACCCTGTAGACGCGAAAGTTACCTTAAGCCGGAACCCCGCAACCCAAGTCAATACGATTCCTTTGCTGTTGTGCTGTTCGTAATGCCTTCGCGGTTGATGAGGTATTACTTCAGGTTTCAGTAGTGTAACACAGAGCTGGTAGAACTGTAGCATCAAGAAAGTTGAGCGCGTAGGATCGCATCAGAAGCCTGCAGCCTATCGAGGTGATCGCAAAAGGTTTACTTGCTTATATGATTAGCAATGCGAGCCAGATTGGAGATACAAAGGCTTACCGTTGCTACGTTTGGCGCAATTCTTATACGATGCAAAGAGCAAAGAAATCTGCACGTACGAGTCTAGTGGTATGATAAAGTGTTATAGATGATGAAAACTTGAAGCGAAACAAGGTGCTTGTCATTTCTAGCAGCTTTGCAACAAAAACCCACCTTAGAATAGCCATAGAGCACAAATTGCAGGCGCTGTTGTCCAGACGCAAATGTTGTCAGGAGTGACTTGACGGGTTATATAGTGTAAGAACACCTTGATCCGAATGAAATCCACAAAACAAAGAAAATCTTGCGTGATGTATCACAAGAAGGGGATAGAGTAACCACCTGACGAATTTGTCATTATTACATGCTGCCCATTTCAGTCAAGAGAAGGCGTGGCAACAGATCCACTCAACGTCATCACGAGAATCGAAATGAACCTGCGAGATCGGGATGACCAGCAAATGGGAGAATCCATACAGTTTCCCGAGCAACAGTTAGACAACGCCGTTCAGCCTATGAACCCCGATGGGATCCGTCGGAAAAATCGGTCGCAAAATATTCCATTTCATGAGAAATCTCGTGAAGACATTGACAATGATAGTATGATAAATAGGACGTAAATCACTTTCTTCATCTAGTTGAGCCAGGGTCAAGTTGTTTCCACAACCATGACTGCTACATCACGGCTTGGTGCATAAGGTTCAGTTTGCGCATGCACATTGCTGGAATATAGAAACTTGAGCTAGCAAGGTGTTGCGTGTCAGCTTCACTAATCTATTTTCACGGGATACACAGCTGATCGCCGCTTTTTTGTCGAAATTCTATTTCATTGTTAAAATCTTGACTTCGTGACTGCCTCAAATTATGTTTATTTGTACATTGCACTCGTCCTCAAAGATTTAATGTAATAATTGTCGGATGTGACAATAAAACGTTTGTTCTTTACCGTCAAATTCTAACACTCAAAACTGATGAGGACCTCCAGCCGAATAATGAAGTTTCGGTCTTTTCCTCCGTCTTCACAAAATATTGCAAATTATGTACCTATTAGAAGAGCTTCTTCAATGAATTCGCGAACCTATCTGTCTGCCATGCTTTGAAAAGGCAGGGCAGGTACATTTCAACTCTTAAGAATCTCCTGCATTTTCATCTTCATTGATGTAGCACCATTGTTTATTTCGTCCATAAATTTTATATGCAAAACAACACTTGATTTGCTAATTTACGTTAGCTGTCTGTCCTGCATCTAGTGGCGCATTCAAGGCCAACAGCATCTACAGTCTGCTCCAATCGGGATCAGGCCGAAGCGTCGGCGTAAATTTGCGCGCTCGCAGCGCTGGAGGTGTGCGCTGCATATGCGCGCTGTCGCAGAGAGCAAAAGGATTGCAGAGAGAGCAGCGAAGGGCCGTGGGCGTGACCGCGAAACCCTGGTGACGCGGACTCCCGCCATGCCAATTTTGGCCTGATTAGGATTGGGGCAGACTGTACTTTCAATAGTTTCGCCCCCGGTTACCACTTTAACCGTGCAGCGCGGCAAACATCGCGGACTTTGCGCAATACGCTTGCATACCTCCCTCAACTGACGAGTTGAAGGCATTGAGCCTCAAATCCAATAGGCAAGCGACTACAAGCGGTAGGATAAAAAGCTATCCACTAGTGAGACTGTCTGACATCAAAATATTCCTGGCGGTGGCTCCTACTCCAGTCGAGTCATCAATCTTCGGCGGCGGAGATGATGTGGACCGTCGCTTTTCCTACAGCAAGTCACACCTGGGGGTCGTATGGAGGAGCAAATAAACCTTGTGGAACAAGTTTCAGCACATTCTGAGGTTTCCAAATTGGGCCACCCAAGTGAGATGGTCATTTTCAATTTCATGTAACTTTGTTTCAAAGGTAAGTCAACCACTTTTTTTGCATTTAACACGGTGAACTATCACTTCTTTGCTCACATTTGCAATCCTACTTCAAACAACCTCCATCAAGGATTTAAAAGCAAGCCAAAATCTCGCTTGTTCCATTTTCGCTTTCAATATCCCAGACTAGAGAAGACCAATCAGGTTCAAATTACTTAGCCTACAAGGCTTAGGCTATCGAATACATTCTTGTCGCCTTCCCTCCCGATTCACGTAGTAGCGCAGACTTTGCATGTTACCGTAACCCGATATTTTCGCAGTACTTTCCATTTGCATAGATAAAGAAAAATGATGATATCTTATATTGATTTTTGCTGTAGCTAAGCCAAGAGATTATATCTTATATTGAGATTTTTGCTGTAGCTAAGCCAAGATATGATCTTTTTATTGATGGCTGACGTACGATTATATCTTAACCTAGAAGAAATGATTTTGAATGAAATACCTGCTGTGTAAAGAAGAAGGTCTAGCAGTAGCAATGATACAAAATGCGTATTTGAATGGTCTGAAGGTAAGTTAATGGGGTGTGGCACAATCCCTGAAAAGGTGTGGCAATTACAGCTCTTCCGGGGTAGTGCCACATTCCATTTACTTAGCTTCATAGAGAATATGGAAGAAGGTTATATACAGTTCGATAGCCAAAATTATCTAGTTCTTGTAAACGTGATTAGAGCTGAATTCGTCATCTTTCGTTTACGTTTTTAATTATTTGCAGCAGGATTCATTGTCAATCATGTAGTGTTTTGTATTGAGTACCAAAGGAAGTAGCTAACTCACTTCTGAAAAATGGTTAACCATGCTGAAAAATGGCCACTTCCCTATACCACAGAGGTTATATGACATGATAATTACGAATATGTTACTACGAGCTGGCATCCCAGGTTCCACCCCATTCAGGAGCCAGTCCATCGTGATTGGTCCCTCATGTAGCAAAATTTACCCTTTTTTGATTCCGATCCTCTTGGGTTCGCTTCCTACCGCCCTTACTATACCATGATGACCATGATGACCAGCACATCAAAATGAGGTTCACCGCTCATCCTTCATGACTATAGGTAATGTGCACAGATACACAAACACACAGATTTTCCGCTTTATATATAGAGATTATGCTTGGTAAAGCCTTTAAGTGATGACGGTAGACAAATGAAAAGATGGGAAAGCATGGGGGGGGGGGGGAGAGGTATGATGACCAAACTTAGGGCCGCATGCACTAACATCTGGGGAGGGGATCGCAGCTTAGAAGAAAGCTTTATATTTCGAAACTCCAGTTACCTGGATTTCACGTTGTGTACCTATCCGTAAGTATTCCTACTACCCTTCACTATGAACATGTTGAAGAGGAGCGAGAAGCTGTACAAACCACATTTTCCAGCTTTTGCATGATCCCTGATGATCCCCGGCGCTTTTCTTTAAAGTTATTTTTCTTTCTCCAAAGTTAAAGGAAAACCTCCAAAGTTGTGCGTATTATCTAACCCGACAGTGCTAAGCATGTTGCTGATAAAAACAGATGATGTTTTGAAGTCATGAAATTTTCGATGATCCACAGGTCGAAATTTGAGGTTTACCGAAAAATTCGAGTTTTCAAAAACTCATTTGTTCTCATCAGCAACATGCTTAACAGTGATGTGTTAGATGTTCAGTACAACTTTGGAAGGTTTTCGTCAACTTCGGAGAAAGAAAAATGACTTTAAAGAAAAGCGCCGGGGATCATCAGGGATCATACAAAAGCTGGAAAATGCGGTTCGTACAGCTTCTCGCTCCTGTTCAACATGTTCAAAGTGAAGGGTAATAGGAATACTTACGGATAGGTACACAACGTGAGATCCAGATACCTGGAGCTTCAGAATATGAAGCTTCCTTTTAAGCTGCAATCCCCTCCCCAGCGGGAAGGTTAGTGCATGCGGCCCTTAGGGTGAGGGGGGGGGGGTATCGCATCCGGCGCTTGTGTGCCCTCTTGTCGATCCTGTTTGGTAAGACCTCATTTCCCTCTAAATTAACAATGCATGTTTAGTCAAAGAGCTTTTTAGATGGGAACACCGTATTAAAAAGCGTGTAATGCTGATTCCAAATCTGCTTTCCTTATCTGCAGAGCGTTATGGAGGGGAGTTATGAGCGCTTATTGGGCAAAAAATTAACTGTGCAAAAATAGACAGGACAAAAATAGCCGTAGTACTTTTTCTAGCTCTTCAATGGAGCAGTCATAATCATCAGAGCATTTGATTTGAAGAATACTTGGTTGCATTGTTTGAGGGCTAGTAAGATTTTAGCAACTCATTTTATCCAAAACTAGCTGGCTTACCCGGCTCCGCCGTATCCGGACCAAACTTGGCACACATACACTTCGGGCCCTGGCGGGTGTCACAGTCCACTTTTCGTCATCGATCGACATCGATTTTATCGATTTTTATCGTTTTCTTTGCAGAGTTCACCTACAGGGCTAGGAGTTGGCACAGGGGGGTAATCGAGCATGGGGATTCCGAATACAATATTATTTTTCAGAATTATCGATTGCTTTTATTGATTTTATCGATTTTTTGTAAATTTTGACATGCGAGGCTGGGATTTTGCACAGGGGGGTAATCGAGCATGCTGATTACGAATACAATATTAGTTTTCAGGATCGTCCATCACTTTTATCGATTTTATCGATTTTTTTGTAAAGTTTGACCTGCGGGGCTGGGAGTTTGCACAGGGGGTAATCGAGCATGCAAATTACGAATACAATATTAGTTTTCAAAATCGTCCATTACTTTTATCGATTTTATCGATTTTTTGAAAATTTGAGCTAGGGGGCTGGAATTTGGCACAGGGGTGTAATCGAGCATGCTGATCACCCCCTTGGGGATGATCAGCATGCTCGATTACCCCCCTGTGCCAACTCCCAGCCCCCTAGCTCAAACTTTGCAAAAAAATCGATAAAATCGATAAAAGTAATCGATAATCCTGAAAACCAATATTGTATTCGGAATCCCCATGCTCGATTACCCCCCTGTGCCAACTCCCAGCCCCGTAGGTGAACTCAGCAAAAAATCGATAAAAATCGATAAAATCGATATAGATCGATGACGAAAGGTAGCCTATGACACCCGCCTGGGCCCGAAGGGTATGTGTGCCAAGTTTGGTCCGGATCGGTTCAGAAATGGAATTTTCTATTCGGAACATACGTACATACAGACAGACAGACAGACAAACAGACATTCAGCTTTATATATAAGATGCACGTTCAGTTTTTGGCTTTAAACAACGCTCACTACTTCTCGTTCATAAACGCTCTGCAGATAAGGCAGATTCGGAGTCAGCGTTTTATGCCCTTCAATGTGGTATACATCTCATTTAGGAAGGCCAATTCGACCAAACAAGCTTCCCTTGTAAGTTGCCCCGACTCTGCCCAGACACTGCGCAAGACATCAATCCTAAAAAATTTCAACTGCGCTAACTTTTGATACTGACATCCTCTGCATTCTTCAACACAAAATTAATTCGTTTCCGTTCCTTCTTTGGAAATAAGAAAAAAACGACACAAATTTACATCACAATGATGGGGAAGAGAAAAGCGAGCAAAAGAGCGAACTATTGAGATATCAAGGACCAAATAGGTACAGTTAAACGCCAGCGTTCACCGTACTGGCCAGGTCGCCTTTGCCTTCAGCTAATCGTTGCCGGATCATCTCGGCAATACATTTTTGTGTCCTTCGTTCCAATTTCTGTAACAAAAAACTAGTCTTCAACGAAAGAAAGCATAACAGGGAATCTTGGGGTGATAAGTGCCAATGAAAATTTAAGTAACCTGCAGCTTTTTCTCGATATCTCTCTTCAAATCCCAATCAACCTTTTTGGGAGCCAAGGTGGAGAGATCCACAGTTTCAACCGGTTTCACGTTTTTAGTGTCCTGTAAAGTGGTCCTAGATATAAAAACAAAACCAGAAGGAGAGACTGGTTCAAAGGATGGAATCAAAACCTACTTCCAGATGCGAAGCAATAACTTCTTCTACAACGTCAAGCTTTGGTACAGGTTGCTCTACTTTTCCTATTTCCTCGGAAACCGGCTGATAACTTCTGAAAACACGTGTGAAAAAGCAGAAAATGGGATTATGTGGTTACAATCTACAAATGAAATAAAACTTTACCTGAAATGTGGCGCTTCTGCTTTGCTTTTCTTAGTGGCTTCCTCCTCTTCTTTATAGTCCTCTTCTCTGTAATAGTATATTAACAATATTACATTCATGAAAGGATAATTATCATCATATCCATTCTGTACAAGCATATTTTCATCAACTCAGTCAAGTCTAACAATATACGTACTATTGAATGGCTTGAAAGGAGATCATACAGCGATCCAAGGTGAAAAATGGACAATTTCACAAGTAAATACTGCTTCCCGAACAGATTCCATATCTTATAATTAGTCGCTAGGTTAGGTTAAAGCTAGGTAAAAGGGAAAATTTGGCATGTTGATCAATGAGATACATTCTGCAAAGCAATTACCTTTGCGCTGTTAAGGAAGGTAATTTTAAGCGGTAAGAAGTATAGTATACCTGCAATTTTGTGCATAGGTTCGGCATACCTTTACTAAAGTCATCAACATGTGCAGGCATTCAATGATTTTGTTGAACTAACGAGGGAACACTTTCTAGTCGAAGTAATCTTTTCAAATGAATCCTATGTTACTTTGAGGGAGCATTGAGCGCCGATTCCAAGTTTGTTTTCATTATCTACCAAGCACTCTTGGACACCAAGTTATGATTGATTTTAAGAGCGAAAAATGAACGCAAGATCTAGGTAAAAATAATGGTCAAAACCTTTCCTGCCTCAGACTGACAAGGGAATGGTCAGAAATCGAAGTGGCCAATCCATACAAGCTGCACACCTTTCGATGCAGCATAGAATGCTGATTTCAAATCTGTCTTCCTTATCTGCAGAGCGCCTTTGTAGGCGAAGTTATGAAGAGCTTTACTGCGGAAAAACCGTATACAAAAATTGCGAAATTAGGCACATTATTGCTCTTTCACCTCACTTCTAGGTACGGGTCATATGAAGTGACCTAGTTGCATGTTTTGGTTCCAACACTGAGCCAAGAAAGGCTTTGTGCGGCGAAGTTTGCACTTCATACGCACAATTTCCTAGCAAAATAATGACTTTCAACGGCTTATAATTTCGTCCACAAAAGCGCTTTGCAGATAAGGAAGACAGATTTAGAGCCAGCGTTTTATGCTGCATCTAATGGTATGCAGCTTGTATGGATTGGCCACTTCGACTTCTGACCATTCCCTTGTGAGCAGTACTGAGTATGAGGGCGTTTGAAGGCGTGTTCTAATAACCAACATTTGCTCATTTAAGCAATTCTGGACAATTAGTTGCGAAAAAAATTTTTCGACCTAAACGCTCATAACTTGGCCTTCATGAGCCTGGGATAAGGAAGTCAGGTTGATTTCGCCGTTCAATGCTCCCAAAAGTGATCTAGATGCCAAATAGAAAGACCTCGACTAAAAAGGCTTCCCTTGTGGGTTTTTACTGTAAACATAAAAGATACGACTGCAAAATAAACACGATGAATAGAAATCGATTTTGTGATAACAAGGATAAGCTTTACATGCACTTCAAAAGGTTTTGAGTTTGTTATGCGGTTATTTCAATATCCATCAATGGATACTGAATTAACCGCAAAAATCCCTACGAAAGAAAAGCATGTATACGAGAAGCTTGCCCTTGATAACGTACTTCATCTCTATTCCATTCATCCGAGATTTCATTTCCAAAAGGCGTTTCTTCCGGGCCAATGCAGCCGCTTCCATTCTGTTAGTTTCTGTATCTTCGGTTTCCATCTCTTCATCGGACGAGGATTTTTCGGCATCGCCGTTTTCCCGTTCAACCATCTCGCTAAATGGATAACACTCATCAATAGATGGTTAGAAGAGCTGGGCTAATTTCCAGCGAAGAGAACGAAGTAAACGAGAAAAATCACATGCGAAAACCAGACACAACTTCCCGAGTGAGTCAAACTCAATGCGACAAAATTGCAATAAGGAGGTTCGACTTGAGAAGGCATAATCTCAACCCATTGGAAAATGTAAACATTCAAATCGTCGCTATCAAGCCATAGAAACAAGCAGAAATTATACAACGCTTGAATACGAGAAATAGATACGAGAACTTCGAAAAAATGGAAAATTTCAAAGTATGTGTGCATTATCACGTCATTCCGTATTCACCGAGCTACCGTAAGCTGATATTGTTCGTGCGAGTCAATTGAAGCTTTTTTGAGTTTGTTTTAGGTACTTGCTAGTTCAAAATTATGTGGGTTTTCTTTCTTTATCGAGCATACTTCTGATCAGTGCTACCACGAGTTGTAGAGGGCGCACGACAAGTTTTTGATGAGGCAGAAACAAAAGCGTTCCGGTTTTCCGGAAAAATTTCGTGTCAAAAACTTTACCAGTTTTTTTCGTGCAGAGAAAAACTCTACCTGTGCTGCATTTCGTGAACGGTTTTTTGGGAAAGTTCGGGACTGATTTCTGAAGCCTCTACTATCGCAGCGGTGTGAAGGTTTCCTCCCGAAACATATCATGCGAATGAACATTATAGGCTGCCAAATCTAACTTCAGCCGAGGCACATTTCTTCGCGGTGTCCTTTGACTAATGGTCGCGAGGCTGAATTTGACGAATCGGCCTAGACAGCTCCATGCAAAGAGCAGTTTTCCCCAACTGCACGCCTTTGTCAACGTTACGACCTTAATTTGGTAAGTATTTCGTTGATGTTCCATCGAAACTTTCTATTTTCATTATCACATTATCAGCTGTTTTTGAAAATCTCTGTTCTACTGTATTATGCCTCTAATGCTAATGCTAATGTTTTTCTAATTATTTGTTGCCAAATTTTGAGTCAACTACTTCTTGCATTTTGCACTTTGATTCTGAATGCTCTCTGACGCGGTAGCGCCATCGTCACGATTTTTCGAATGCCCTATATGTTTGTTTCGATAACAACATCCATTTATTCAGATCATGAGAAACATCCATTATCTATCTCATCTGAACATGGCTGTCCTTGCAAAGAAACTGTCTAAAACCTATTACATTCTTCTATAGGTTCCCGCTTTGAAACCAGTTTCCGCAAATTTTCTCTTGCGAAAAACTGAGAATTCAATTTCGCAACACCATTACTTTCCAAAACTAAACATTTCGCTACCATCCTCCCAATGGCTGCTCGATCCCGGATCAGGAGCTCTTTGTTCGCATAAACACAACAAAAACCACCGGCTGCTAAGCAGGCTATCACATTACATGACCAGTAGCATCTATATTGACGCAAGTGCTGGAGGGAACTGCTATTGCTGCAGTAATGCTGATAATGAGTAGTCTCACTATCGCCTACTTTCTCACGCCATTTAGGGATCGGTCAGAGTTTGCCAGTGTTGCCGGTGTTGAAAGTGTTGAAAGTGTTGAAAGTGTTGAAAGTGTTGCCGGTGTTGAAAGTGTTGAAAGTGTTGAAAGTGTTGCCGGTGTTGAAAGTGTTGAAAGTGTTGAAAGTGTTGAAAGTGTTGCCGGTGTTGAAAGTGTTGCCGGCGTTGAAAGTGTTGAAAGTGTTGAATGTATACATCAGTCCTGCAGTTTCATTCTTCCTGGAGCGATCTTACTGGCTGGTGAGATCGTTTGAAATGTACATGGAACATGAGTAATGAAATGCGACTGAAATGGGAAATGCTTTTACATGCAAAAGAACCTCATACAAAGCTTTTGGAAGGTAGAGGACTTGTTTTAGATAGGCAATCCCCAATATTTGAAAACGCTGCAAGACCTCCTATATGTAGGATCTGCAGCGAACACCCATTACTCGGACTTTAGTAGCGTTCTCAAAATTCAAAGATTGCCTATCTAAAACAAGTCCTTTACCTTCCAAAAACTTTGTATGAGGTTCTTTTGCATGTAAAAGCATTTCCCATTTCAGTCGCATTTCATTACTCATGTTCCATGTACATTTCAAACGATCTCACCAGCCAGTAAGATCGCTCCAGGAAGAATGAAACTGCAGGACTAATGTATACATTCAACACTTTCAACACTTTCAACACCGGCAACACTTTCAACACTTTCAACACCGGCAACACTTTCAACACTTTCAACACCGGCAACACTTTCAACACCGGCAACACTGGCAAACTCTGACCGATCCCTTAGCCACTTTATCATGCCTTACCAGCTTAATTAGTGCTCCTAGCGATTCGCGAAGCGCACGAGCAGCCACATCTAACATGTTTGCTTTTCAGTTCCTGTAAATTGAACTTCCTCTATATTTATCGTGTTCTCAACTTGGAAATTTGTTGAATCATGCTGCCATCATCCAGCATCAATGTACACATCAAGGTATTGATCATCATTATACTCATCTTGATTCACTTTGCGTCCGTAATTGACTTTGCTAATCTTCAGACTGTCTTTAGTCATTTGTGCTTCACCCTGTAGAACTCAAGCGAATGAATAGAAAGGTTAATTGTTTTTCATGTAGAGCAGCTAGGACTGCAAATCTACGAACTTGACGCAAGCCACAAATTCCCACTGGAAAATCTCTTCTCGGCGCACTGATAGTTCTCCTAAGTGCATCTTTTGTATCCACTTATTCACTCTCAAGCATTCTTTGAGCACTTTACACTGCCCCAAGTATTCACAGCTTGTTGTTCATCTGCTTCCTGAACTTATGCAGATAAATTTGAATGTTCACATTGGTTTTCTGAGACCCATGCAGAGAAACTACTCAAAAACTAAATTTTTATAACTGACTGACCCTTTGCGTGAGTTTCCAGCTTATCATCTTCAATGTTGACAGGATATAATTTAAAAATTATTCCTCATTAGCTGTATCCATGGCTCGAAGTTAAGTGTGTAATTTCTAGGGAGATAGTATAGGTGGAACTTTACCAAAATCTATAACTTTGGCCTGAGATTGCCTCCTCGTCCTTTTTCTAAATTCTGCTTGTGTATATATATATCGATATTATCGTCTCAACTGTTTTCTTTCCGTTGGTATACGCTGAGGCACATCTGCAAGATGAATTTATCTCGCTATCGCTCCCATGATTGAATTTTTTTCACGATTTTTTTTCGCGAATGCACCTTATAATATTGCACCGTACAAAATTTATGGATTTTATTGCATTGCACTTTACTGTATAATTTATCGCCGACATTTTTATTGTCAAAGCTTGGATTATATTTGCTCGAAAACTACTCATTTGTTTTTAATAAATTCCTTACAACTTTTTCTTCTTTTTCTTCTTGTTAGCAATCTTCGAAATCATCAGTTCATGAACTATCAACCACTAGACCATACTGTTTCAGTATCGCAACGGCTATAGAATTTTTCCTCAGAGGACAAATGAACGATGATAACGATAACCAGTGACTAATAAATTGCATTTTCTAGCCTGCAGCTATGTCGTGCAGAGAATGACAGATATGCTGTCTCATCATCTGCCGACGAGAAAAAGTGACATTAGCTGAGCATGTGCTCAGAGAATCTGCATATTTAACCTTTTGCCCTCTCTACTGACTTATTTCAACCAATAATTCCCGATGAACCTGCAGAAGTAGTTAGAGCAAATTTTCATGTGATGGGAAAGTAATGCGGTACATCTTCATCATTTTACTCTAACTTCATGTGATTAAATGAAAATTGTAGTGTTTATAACAACATATACCAATATTTTGATTGCTGCCCAAACCCAGCTTCTATCCTGTGGCGTTATGGTATTGAATTTTTGTGTGCGTTTAACCACTTAAAGTTGTGATTTTTCGTGACTAGACTCATCGGTTCTACTTTCAATGAGTATGACATATAACATGGTTTTTATCGTAACTGACATTATTACAAGAGAGCCAATTTACTGATATTGGGTGAAGCCCATTTTCCTTTTTTCGAATCTAAAGGAAATCCTCTTTTTCTCCAAAACCAAACCTTTATGCAGTTCTCTGGTTCTTTTGCGAACAAATGCTCGCGCTCTTGATTCCAAAGTGTACCATAACTCTTCCACAAATCATAGAGAAGCAAAGATCAAGTTCGGGCCGTGGATTATCGTGCTTGCTTCAACGCTTGAGAGAGTCATTATTCGCTATTCGCCACGATCGGGCAACCGAAAAGTGGATGCGTACGAGTTTTGAACGCAATCTCTCACTTCGCTCTAGTGACGAATTCACAAGCCTTTTTCTGTTAAAACTCGAAGCGATTCATTTTTTCTACGTATTCAGGCTATTTCCTCCAGCAAGAGTATCCTTTCCATTCGACTTCAGTATAATTCCTGAATGTATCACAATAGTAGAGGCTTCTGTAAACTCTTTCATTTCTTTGTTACATCAAACAATACCCGAAATGAAAGCTGGAACTAATGTTAGCACGGCTAATGCTGACTGACACGACGGAGATGAAAACTGCGGCGAGCGTGTCGAAATAAGCCGCCGACACCCGTCTTACCACGCCTTCTCATGCATTCCGGATTCTTTGGATTGATATGATAACTCCCTTCTTTGCTTCGTAATGGTTTTAACAAGGCTATTTGCGTGTTCTCATCGTTTTCATGAGATAGTAGGACGACTTGGCATTTATCGCGGTTGTTGGGCTGCCAGCAATTTTGGTTTGATTAATGTATCTCACTACGCCAATTGTATGTTATAAAACAGCCGCATTCTCCTCAGTTCTTCCAGAGTCATAGTATTTCTTTCTATCAACCAATAACAAATTTCATAGCTCTTACCCGTCCAACACTTATTCGACATTTGTCATTCTCAAAATGTAGAACGTACTTCTCTAACCTCAGCATGCTGCGCTTTGATCTTATTGGGTTGGTCCTAGATGATTTCATTGCACAAGCAGCTTTTGGGAATTTTTAGGAGTTTGGCCATAGATTGCTTATACTTCCATTTATTCTCGTACAATACTAGGCACTCAATCACCTTGTCTTGCCATTCTGTAATTTTTTTTTCAAAAGATGACGGATCATATTGCCAATTTATCTTCGAGGTTAAATTTTTAGAACCAAAGAAAGTAGCAGTGACTGAGAAAAATAATTGAATTCATCATTGTGATCAGCCTCAAGTGCAGGCTTTTCCGTAACTTCTTTTTTTTTCTCTTGGCAAAATCAACAACTTGGGTACTAGTGAGTACTCACATAAAAGTAAAATTTTGGGCACTTGAACAGAAAGGCGATGGGGTAATATTATGTGGTGAGTGAAGTAGTTATAGTATCCAGCACCGTTAAGTAAAGATTAAGAGTAAAATTTATCTATGCAAAAAATAGAGAAACATGTGATCTGGGTTCAACCTAAACATATGGGAAGGCAATAAAACTCCCCAAGAATACTCGTTAGTTGTTCAAGTTCTGTAAATATGTTCACATGCGGATCCCCAAGAAAACTCGTTAGTTGTTCAAGTTTTGTAAATATGTTCATATGCTGAGCCATATGTTTCTGAGAATATTCATTACCCCCTTTCCCCCCCCCCGCCTACATTACTATCTCCTTTCGCCATCTCGAACAGTGGGAGGCATTCCGAACCGTATTCAGCTGGCAACGTGGCTGATTACGCATTCACGTAAATTCCAAACTGATGGAATCTACCCACGCAAATGCCGCCGAACAGAATTTTCTTCGAGAGTGAAATTGTACTCTTTAAGAAGTACTGAAGATCTATAAACTCTCAGTAACCACAAGTCTGGAATGCCTAGTCCCTTTGCGACTGAGAAACACTTTTGGCAGCTGTTCGTCTCAGCAACTTTGTTGACAGCCAAGATCAGCGATTGAATGACCAGCAATTCTTCATTGTTAGAAAGACTGATTTGCTAGGCACTTACGTAGCCGACACCTTTTTGATCCTCGAGCAAATCGTAAAGTGAGCTAAGCTATTGATGATTTGAGGGACTCTAGATTTATGTCCATGTGTCGTGCTCCCATTGCGCATTTTTCATCGAAGTAATTATCTGGCACTAATTTTTGCGTTTGGCAACCGGTTTCGCAGCTGTTCTCATCTCCTAGATCGAATCCGGTTTGTTTTTGAATATTGTTTAGATCTTTTTCTTCACAATTCTTTTTCCAGGAATTGATTTATTATTAACTTGAGATAATTTCCGAACTATTAGGCATTTTTAGCGGTACTTTTGCTTATCTGTTGCTCGTCTAGTTTTGTAGCAATTTGAAAGGCAGTTATTCTTACCTGCTAAGATATTTATTTTTGTTCGAGTAATCTGTTCGATCTTATCTTCAGTTTTAGCATCTTCTTGTTCTTGTTAAATCAAAGGCTTCAAAGGTAGACTCTTCTCTTTACTTAAAACTATGTGAATTGTAGAAGATTACTAGTAAAATAACTGTCTTTGAACATTTGCTTTCATTTTGATACATCCGGGTTTCTAAAAATTTCACGTTAATTGGAAAGCCTGCAACCACCTTTGCCTTTTTTTTACACGAGAGGTTTCGCCACTACAATCTAGCTGTTTGAAGCCATAAAAAGTGATTTTTCATTATTTCTTCACTTGCTTATGGGAGAAGTGTTCAGATTGAACCAATCTCGCCTAAACTTCAAATAATTGATAATAATAGACAGACTCCATTGAATTTCTACGCCGATGACATGATTCCGTACATGGCCTAAATAAGCTTGTTTCCTTTTTCTTCTTCAAAAGCACTTGGAGGCTGGACTTAAGCTGATTTAGTGGATGTTTTTTGTTGTATTCCTTACTGCTGATTATATCTCAACTTTTCCATTGATTGTAGTCATGAGCAACGTTTTTTGCTTTTTAAATAAATAAATAAACAAACAAATAAATTAGCTTCAGATTTTTTGTTACTAATTTTCGATACGTGAGAATCGTTTCAGTGTAGGATTCACATTACTATGTTGCGTCTTCTAGAATTTCTCGAGCGAGAGCTCGTGAGAATTCCATGCATACTTTTTTCGTTTCGTCGCCGATGGATGGAAATGAGTTTTTGCTGCTTTTTTTCGCGAAAACATTTTCAAAGACATTCTTCTTCTCGAGCTTTCTACTTTTTCCCTCGGAGTTGCCTTACAACGCGGACAGCTACCTGTCATTAACTGCGAGTGAAGTGACCTCGAGTGACCCGTGCAGGTCGGCGACCAGTCGTCTGCCGACCTGCTGCGGCGGCGATTGCGAGTCGCAAGCACTTGCGCGTTTCGCCGGCAACCTCGCGCGCGCGATGCGACCGCTACGTTGCTCGCCGCATTTCGTCGTTGTAATGGAGTTGTTCACATTTGCATAGCGATGAGGCAGCGTTCGTGACGCTGGAGTGCGTCAGACAGGCCAGACGGCAAAACATCCCGCGTCCGTCCCTTTTTACACTACGCGCGGCGCTCGCTGGCGCTGTTCTTCCCTCTCTCTCGCTCCTCTTCTGCCCTCGATCCTACTCGCAATTTTCTGCCAACCCTTCCAGCTCTTGTCCTTCTATCCAAGGGGGTAACATCAGTTTTTCACCTACAAATCATTTTGCTGGGATTTTCGGCGTTTTGTTTCCCCCGCGTTAATCGCGTTGCCCACAACCATTGATTAGGTGAAATTAGCATTCGCACTATTTTGGCTGTCAGTTATTGTCTCCTCCACTCTTCCTTCTTTTTCGAGGTCTTTGATCTTTTCCATCTCTTTTCCTGCTCATATTCGAATCTGCAAAAACCTGAACTCGTTTCCAGAACAACCCTTTTTGCTTCTTTTATATAGCCTCAAACCATATGGCTTCAATTTGCCCTATCCATCCACTCCCTAGGCGTTTGTGGGCTCAAGACGTCATTGTACCTCCTTAGTAATGCCTCCTTCCCACCGTTAAACAAGTTTTATGGTCTTGGAGTACTCCGTAGTGTTTTTTTTCTATCCACTTGAGCTAGTTTCTTGTTCTTCCTTCTAATTTCCAATCCTTTGTTGGATAGGGCATTCTTCCATTCATCTATTACCGTCTTTGAATTCCTCAAATAACCAGTTAATTTGCTATAGAGGCGAATGGTAGGATGAAGCTTTTTTGAAGAATTTTTTGCTTGCCTTTCTTGGTTCTGTCCTCAATCTAATTATTCATCCGCTATGCAGAAATATATTCAAAGTGTTCTGTTCTCATTTTCAATTTTCTTGCCGCGGGAAAATATTTTCGTATTTTTCTAATAGGTGTTTTGTATCTTACGCAGTTTTATTCGTGCTCCTTTCATAATCTTTCAGCACAGTAAGGTTGTTTTACGTTATAATCAGTACCATAGTTACTTTTTATCCAAGTATATGTCTCATTTTGCAGCTTATAGAAACCTCAGTCTTTTAAATGGTTTCTAACTAAATTTACTTATGCTCATGGTCCAGCCACTTAATTTCACTAATGTAACATTCTCAGTGAACCATTCAAGGTGTCCGACTTTCAGTCAGTAAAGCTTTTGCACGTCAGGCCACCAGGCATCCAACGACTTTACTTTCTGTTAAATCAATGACACTTGTCCAGGTGGCTAAAAAAGTTCTCTCTCATAGAAACGATTTCAAGTTGCTGTTTAAGATACTTTGATGTGCGTTATAATGTGACTTCCATAAACTTATCGGAAAAAATTTTCTTGATGATTTTCATGAAGCTGTAATGTATTGAACCCATTCTTTCAACTGTGCAGCTCCCTATTGCGTTACGACTGGCTAGGGGAAAATGAACTTTTGCTTGAAAGGTTTTACAGAATTTAAGCATTCCAGATCTTTGGGCCATTCTTTTTATACTTTTGCGATACCTTCAGTGTTTGCATCCTCCGAGCCGTTAAAGTTGTGAATTAGTTGACTTAGATTTTGAAAAACAATCCCGCTGAGTCAAAAGTACAGCTGAGTAAACTTTTATAAGCTTTTCGCCATTTTCCCAAGCAAGCCCTAAAATAAACAGTGGGCTGAGAAGGTCGTGGACTTTCTTTCGAACTAGTCACGGTTGATACTTACGCACACTCTTTGATATATATTGAATATATCGTTTCATCTGTCATATTTATGTATTTAGGGTTCCTAACGCACTCTTTTATGAGAGAATGTTTGCAATGTATAGAAAAAGTGAACACTTGCGTTTTATTGCGATTCACGTCACACCTCATCGATTGACTTTTTATGCTTCTGTTTCTTATTACATAGCCATTCCTATCTGGAGCTGTTTTGCCCACATTTTTTTTATTATTTTTATTCACTTCTGTTTTTGCTATTGACTATTTTCAGTAATGAACTGCTAGTATAATCGTGTTGTCGTCGAAACACCATCATTTAACAAAAAATGCCTGTATTCCACACGAAGACAATCGAGAGTATTCTCGAGCCAGTGGCACAGCAGGTAAATTTTTCACTTCATAAAGCTTTTAATTCACTGAATGCTTCGTCTTTTTTTTGCAACTACTATTGATTGTTTATAACATATTGATCGTTCATAACATTATGGTGTTGTTCCGTATTCTAACCAGATTGCGTATTCTTTGTCCATTTTCTCAGCATGTTTTTTTTGTGCGTGTGTGAATGTCCTTGTATGGCCCCTCTGATGACCCCATCAAGTTCATGCGCGCTCTAATCTCACTAGCGGATCTACCGCAGCAGTTTCCATAGTTTCTTTATGTCGATGATGAAGCTCTCTCCGAGAGGCAACAAAGCGCGTGGGGCACCCAGCGCCACTTTACTACGCGTTATATTTAGGGGTCTGAGCCGACACACCGCCCTCTGCTCGTAGAGAAACGAGAGGACTCGTAGTGCTTTGGGGGCTATCGAGATCCAGAGCGATGTACTTGGAGATATGGGGAAAGAAAAAGTGGCGAAACTGCATTGGTTGTAGGGGCAAAAAAACTTCTTTTTCGTTCTTTTTGGGGTTGGAGATTCGCGTATAGAAGCTATACTCAACTACAATTGCAGTTGACAAAGGTTGAAGTCTTAGGATAAATCTTTTCTTTTTTTGAGCTAGCACTCTCATGGAGTTTTATGCGTTTTGATTCATTGTTTTGATTCACAAAAATTTCCACAATATTTCAGCAGATTATGCTGTAGTGCTTCCTCTTAGCTTTTGAGGTTTTTTGAAGATGGTCTTGATTTCAATGTTGCCTTCATTAACCGCTTGATTTATTAGGTAAATCTTTTACGGACGATTTGTTCACATAATTTACCTTTCATGATTTCCAAGGAAGTCCCAGTAGCGGCCCTCCTCACTACAGCTTATGTATTTTCTTCTATTATCCTTGAATTCTCTCTTCCCATCACTTTTTATTGTGTTTGCTCAACCTAGCACTTGCTCTAAGCACCTCTTAGACCTTCTAAATTTCTAAGCGATATTTTTGGCCAAACTAACTTATAGTTATTGTCATAAGACAACACGCCCTATCTCATAACATTTATCGATTCCCAAACGATTTGATTTTGCTATAAAATCGATAAATCCACTTTTGTATGCTCGTTGCGTGCGTGTGTTTGAAGTGCTGCTGGTGAGAGTTGCAAACAGAGAGAGAGCAGAAGAAGAGCCTCGTCGAGCACGCGCTACCCACGATTAGAACTCTTCTAGTGACTGGATCAACTGCACGCAAAACAGTGCTTGTAAGACACGAAAGAAAGCAAAAACCTTTTGATTGTGTGAATTTTCGCCTTCTTACGGGACGCATTAGCTTGAAGTACCGATAAGATTGAAAAGCTGCGTGCTTTCGAGGATTTTCTTAGAGGAATAATCGATCAAAAATTTTGCTGGAGCTAAACGTATCTCTCTGGCATTGAAGTAATGTAAGACAAGTGAGAAGAATGCTTGGCGCAAAAAATTCCTCTTGACCTCCAAGCACCTTTCTCTGTTAACATGTTCGGAGGTATCATTGCACCTTAAAATAAATTTCATTTTTTTTCACCCACACCTGAAAAATGTCTAGTAGAGTGGAGCTTTCACAACAATTTTCGCAACTTCATGGGGCTTTAAAATCTGACGGCTCTCGCAAAAAGATCCCTTTTTTACTTGAAAACTTTGGGACCTCTTCTTATTAAACTAACAGGTTTAATGTTAGAAAAAAGGGTTTCAAGTTTCCAGGTTTCAAGACAAGAGGACGTTTGACATATTAAACTAATAATTTGCAATTTTGTACAGTTTCCTGCGCAATGTTCAAGCCCACCATGTTTGTCTGCGAATGTTAATGATCTGTTTACATAGGATCACTGCGGATTAAAGGGATAATACGCTTACACTCTATAAAAAGCCAGTCCCAAAGTGGTAGTGTACCCAGCGGGTTCTGGCAGGGATAGCATGAGGGCGAAATTGTTTGGCGTGGGGTACTTTTGCGGTGCTTTTGTTATTGTGAGTAAATTGATGTGAATCATGAAAAATAATTTTGGAGAACATTTAGCACACCGTGCTTGAAAACATTTCTTTTTCCTGCAATCTGCAACTGTCTTGGCGCTAGGTATAGATAAAGCAAATACATAAAATCCGTACTTGTCCATAACTGGAAAGGATCAGTTTCATAATCCTCCCTGGAATATTTTTCACAAATATTCCACAAATTTTGGAGCGTTTCGCGCTCTCTCCCATCATAGGCATGGAACCGCTGCTTGAAGTAACATGCAGTAATGAACTCATCATAGTTGTGGTAATATATGACTAGCACTGGTGGGAGAATGTTCCCAGCAATTTATTTGAATATGGCAGAGCCTATAGCGAATTGTTCCTCTTTTGCGAATAACATTAGGTTCGCTAAGCTGTTAATTTCTACAGATTTTTGCTCGAACAAGTCCATTTCGAAGTGACTCCTCTTTTTTGCATTTTTTTGCATCGGGTGTTGATGCATGCCAGTCTTGTGAAATTTTTGTAATTTGCAACGCATTAATAATTCACGACAATACGACCCATCGGTGGGTCGTACGTGTTCTGCCGTTTCGGACAATACGATCCATGCGTGGGTCATAAATTTGACAATGCGAAAAAGGCTCTGGTCCGAAACGGCAGTAACTGAAAAATTGGCCTTGTCGTGAATGTGTTTACACATCATTGCAGGCAAAATACAACTTTTTCGTTTTTCTACAAAAACGATTGTAAGCTTTTGATTTTAAGTGCATGCCCAATAAGTGTTTCCGAAAAGCACGCCATTTTCTTTCCCCCTCTCCTTCTCTCTCTCTCCCCCCCTCCCCTCCCTCCGTCTTCCCATGCAAGCGATGTCCTACCACATTTCCGTGTCCGCTTTGTCCATATTGTCCACATAGCTTTTAGTTGCATTACGTGTTAGCCACTGCCGAACGTTGTGCCGGTGGAGATTTGCTAGATGTGCCGCCTCGTACATCTTCACGTGCTAGTAGTCGTTCCGAATTCATTTATCCGGACACCATACAACAACGGGTCACACCGGAAGAATGTCCCGTCTGTCAGATTTTGTTACCAAAAGGCCGAGATGGATGTGTATGTTGATTGTTTCTATGTGTTTTCTTGTCCACAATCTTCATTCCTCTCATATAGGCTTTCATTTTTGCAATTTTCAATCTCAGCGAGTCACTATTTTTTGCAAATGGTAATAATTACCACACTAGGTATCTCGACTCGTGATTCTTCATGAAGAAGCTGAAGATGGAAATGCTATGCCGGATCTTACACGACCGGTTAGTCTCGTGTCGAGAGCCGTAGACAATCTCATAAAGGTAAGAATTTGTTTTTTTTATGAATAGTTGACTACTAAACCTGAGGAATGTTTCTGTTCCTAGCTGGACATCGTAAGGTTGTGTAATTCAATCACATTTGTTTGTCTAGTGTCCAGTATCAATATTTGGTTTGCTTAGTCATAAATTGCGATCTTTGGCTGTTTCTCTCATGTTGCTTTGTTGCGAAGTTCCCAAATATACGTGCGCCCTTTGCCTCTAATTCTACCCACGCAGTCAGAGCTTTGACGCGTGGGTAACTGGGGTAATTGCTTTTTTACCGTTGAGCTGAAACAGCATAGTGACTCTTTATTGCTTGAGTTTACGAGCCATAGAAACAGCTGCAGGCACTGGGTGGGGATTTTCTAAAAGCTTTAGTTTAAGAGAAATCTTTTCTAAAATAACCATTCGTCGGCTCTCAAGCTTGTTACCAACCATTTCCTCTAATTATACCCAGCTCCACACCTGCCATCGTTATCACAGGTGGTTGGCAGCTTGGGGAGAGAAGTACGGGTTGATGCCTAGGGCATTCACCGCCCCCGCGGCGGCGCCATATGCTGCCGCCATCGCAGCCGCGCTCGGCTGTTTTTCTTTGGCCCGGATCTGATCCGGGGATGCGATGTGCTATCAAAGAGAGAAGCCCGAGAGAAAGGGCGCGATGCGGATGCAATCGTTCATTAGACGTTTTATCGATAGCAGTGCTATGAAGATGGTATAGTGGGGAAGCTTGTGTAACGTGCATCATTTTTGTGGTATTGGAAAATGGGGATCAAATGAAAAATGTATCATTATAATTCATCATCCAAATGTGTGTATGTAGAGGGAGGGGAGGAACGAACGAACGAGAAAGTAGGAGAAGAAAAAAGTTACCTGGATCAATAATACAATTTAGAGGCACGGTACAACTGGCTGTTGATGTTGGTTTCAATTCGGGGAATATTTTGAAAAACAGGTTTGAAGTGCAATTCGTGGAATGAATTTTTTGTTGTATAAGTTTCCCCACAAATTTCACTATGCATTCGTTATTCTCATAAATCACTTTGGGTCTCTCAGGCATACCCAGAAAAGGAAAACGGTATAGAATTAAGCCGATGTTTTGCGTTTATAGTCGGATTTAAAGCGAAGTTGGAATACTTCCAATAAAAATGGCGAATCAGGTAGCTCAGGCACAAGTTGTGCAGAGGTTTTTTACTGAAGGAATGCAGTGCATCATTATTATCGAGAGTGCGTTTCAAAATCTCGTCGATATCTCTCATCGATTACACAAGCCTATGATCCTCCTGACATAAGCAACATCATGTGGATTGCGAGATAGTGGAGATAATGAAGCAGACGACGATCAATGCTCGCATATCCTCAGAAAGCGATGAGCAAACTAAAGCGAATTAGCTAGTTTTTCTAAATTTCTGGAAGTTTCTCAATTTTACATAATTGCTATATGGTAAACTATACGACATAATCGTTGTAAGTGATAGCAGTAATAAATGATTCGGAGCAATTTCACTTCCCTTCCACCGTAGTAGACGTTATATAGCGGAAAGGCTTTCTGGGTAACTGTTACCGGCCGTAATGAGTTGAGGTGAATGATCTGTGGCACTTGTCTGCGCGTGTGAAACCTATCGGCGACATAAAATTCTTTATCCACCGTGATTTTCATAAGGCCATTTTGGAGGGAAAAATTAATAAATGATATTTTTTCAAACTTCAAGTAAACTCTTTGAGCTCAGAACCCAATTAATTCGCTAATCTGCATGCACCTCCAATATCCCGGAAAACTCAATGGATTAAATGGGAGAGGGGCTAAAATCAAACTTGGACGAGTGTACTCTCAGCTTTCGCTGTGTCAAAAATATGTGAGTCTTATGGCAAAGTATTGTGGGAAAAACGTCGAAGCGACAGGATCGCGCTACATTGAAGACCGGAAAAAGACCGCATCAGACTTGGCTGAGCGGCTGGGCGCAGCGCCAACGCTTTGACGCGCTTCCGGGGCGCAATTTTCATGAAGCGAGTGTTTGCGCGCGAGTAGTAACCGTGCGACTAACCGTAGCATAATGCGCTCAGTCAACATGAGCGTCTTGTGCGGTATCTGCAAGTGGCGGCTGCGAGGGCTCAGGCTAGAGTTCGAGCCCGACGAGTGCATCGACGTCGACGACGGCCCTCCGTCGCTCGCCGATGCGACGCCACTTCCAGGAATCGTACAAGCGCGAATACGAGTCCAGCTACAGCTATCGTAGGGTCGTTGAGGTGAGGAGGTTATATTTTCTCGTCTTCAGGTCGGCTATGACACTTGCGACTCGTCGGACGATCGTATCCTGCAACAGGACATGCCGCCGGCTCTGCAAAGAGTCGAGAACAGCTCTCGTCTGCTCGAGGATGCGTGTCATATGCTCAAGGTTCCCGCAGATACTATAAGATCTTGCTAGCAAATTGCTATTTTAAAAGTAAGCTTTTTCTTTCAGGGTGATCCATATTCCGTGCCAGCCAGAAAGAAGCTCATCGATGGCGCTAGAGGTATCCTTCAAGGAACCAGTGCTCTCCTTCTCTGCTTCGATGAATCAGAGGTATGGTTGGAATCTAGTTCTGCGCTTGTTTGTCCAAGAAAAGATTTGATTCGTTTTTGAGTCACAGTATGAGTGGGCGCAAATGTTGACCATTTATAGTACCTAAATAAAACCTTCTTGGTTATATTGGGATTATTCCTTTTTCTGAAAAGCTACAGCGAATCTTTTGAGATATTTAAGTATCCCTGCCGCCTAAGTGTCTGCGTCAGGTATCTTAACCAGTTCCATTAGTTTTATAATATGTCTTTCACTAACGCAAGAGCAATAACCATCACCATCCTTACTGTTTTAACATCTCAGTCGCCCAACTAATCCCATGCAGGTTCGCAAGATCATTCGTGGTTGCCGCAAAGTGCTTGACTACCTGGCTGTCGCAGAGGTGATCGAAAGCATTGATGATTTGGCACAGTTTGTCAAGGTAAGCGACGCACTTCATTTTTTGAGCTTTTCTTTTTCAAAGTTATGCTTTCTAACTGCTCTGTCAGGTGCTTATTGATTTTTTTATCTCAAACTTTTTATATCCTTCTTTACTGATTTCTCTAGGATATCACACCGTGGTTGTCGCGTGTCTCATCCGATGTGTCAAATCGGCAGGCAGAGTTGACCCATCAAGTTCATAGGGATATATTATGCAGGTTTGTGTGTCATTTTTGGAAACTATACTTTATGGCTTTTTTGCTAATTTATTTATTTTTTTGCAATAGTTCTTGTGTATTTATTGTAGTGTGATTCAACACCTTATACACCTAAGGATCTTACACATTTTAACTTGCATCCGAACTGGAAAAATTATCTTTCCAATATCTTGTACATCGAAGTTGATGTCGGTTTCGTGAAAATTCAACACATTGAGGGCGAAAATCAAGGGTTGGTCGTGACTTGATCGTTAAATAGAAGTATGTAACTGACGTTGTGTGCAAGTTTTGCAAATATAAGACGAAAGCACCACTTTCAGATGTCTGGATCAAATCCGGACACTTTCACCGATTTTGATATGCGCTATGAAGATTTTCATACAAATCGGTCAAGATCAGCAACGTGGTCAAGCAGAAGCCGCTGAGAATAGGTGAGTGAATTGCAGTTATTCTGCTTGTAGCATTAGTGAACCGAAAAAATGAGTAATTTGTAATTCAGGAACTATCTCGCGCAACGAATGACCGACGAAATGCACGAGATCATCCGAGTGCTTCAATTGACGACTTATGACGAGGATGAATGGGATGCTGACAACGTCACCGTCATGAGAAAGGCACTCTCAGCTGCCAAGTCATTGCTGACAGCGGCATTAGATTGGCTCGGTGACCCACGTGCTCGTCCTGGAGCTGTGGGAGAGAAGGTGAGTCAACTGGTCAGCTTCTTTTTTGCGACTTATTCACTTCTTGGTCATTCAGGCTATCCGTCGCATCCTTGACTATGCTGATCGTATTGCTTCCCGTGCTCTTCCTGAAGACAGCTACGCTATCAAACGATCTATATCGGAGATTCAATCGTTAACAGATGCCATCTGTGAACTTAGGAACCAGGGTCGATACGACAACGAAGGCTTGGCTGCCAGCTGTGCCCAAAAATTGAAGGTTCGTTTGTTCGGTATTGATCTTATGGTTGAATTTTCCAAATTTAAGGAGCTTGTTGGAACAAAGAACAGTGCCGGAATACTTCCGGATGCTCTGATGAACGCACATCGCATGGGTGGAGCTAACCCAGCACATACCGCCGCTGGACGTCTTGAACAAGCACTCAGGTACTTGCTTAGAATTTTCTGTTTCTTCAAAGCTTTTGCTTTTTCACATTTTCAAGCTCTATGATCTAGCTCTCGCATCCTAATGTTGTAGATGGCTAGACAATCCTGGTGTCGACGATGGTGGTCTTGGTCTTCGTGCCATGAAACTGATGACGGAAGACGCCCGAAGGCTTGCCGATAGGCTCAATCCACAAGACAGGTTGGCTAGATGCTGGCCAGAGTTGGGTTTTCTGATTTTCAATATAATTTCTTTAGAAATCACCTTCTTGGCCTATGCTCTGACATCGACCGGTTGGCAAATCAACTTGCTGATTTGGAACGACGTGGTCTTGGCAATACTCCTGAGGCAAATGCCATTCGTCAACAACTCAAGGATAAACTTCGAGATCTGGCTGACTTTATGAGGAAGATCCTTACTGACCGAGTGGTAAGCATTTATCTGACGAAATTCTGCGAGAGAAAGAAAAAACTTGAAATGTATTTTCAGGTTGAAGACTTCGCCGACATCACCACACCATTGAAGCAGTTTGTTGAAGCAGTTCATGCTGAGCCTAATGCACCAAACAGGGAAGGCAACTTCGCAGATAAGGTAACATGTAGTTCCTTACTGACATTCTTTGTTTGTTTTTCTCGATTTTCTCCCTTTGTTGTGATCTCGCAAAAACAGGTGGCTTTTTTTTCAGTCTGATCGACTGCGACAGCATGCTGGTAATATGACATCTACAGCACGTTTGGTAAGTACTCTTATCTTTAACAGCCAATAATTTTCCTATTTTTCTTTCCATTTGTTTTTTCCCTCTGATGACTTCGTGATAGATTCGCACATGTTGCAACTTTTCCATTCCAGGTTGCAACATGTGGCCCATGCAAGAGCAAAAACACCATCGAAGCCATCGTTGACACTGCAGAGAAGGTGCTTACCCTTTTTTTCACCTGGAATTCAGTAGCCAATCAGCCAATCACTTTTGGGAATTATGAATTGTAGGTCGATCAAATGACTCCACAACTAGTCAATGCAGGAAAGATCCGCTTACATAATCAAACCGATTCTGCTGAACAGCACTTTGAAAATCTTCACAGGTAAAAAAATGACAAAATTTGTACATTCTTGGCTGTACCAGGTTATCTAAATTACTTGTTCAGGCAATATGCTGATGCTTTGCATCGTTTACGATCCCATGTGGATGACGCTATTGACACGCATGAGTTCGTTCGTGCCAGTGAAAACGTAAGTTATGACGGATTTTCTACAGAGGGGCAGCACGAAAATGGGAGCTTCCTCCGCATGCCTTTACTACTAATTTTTTTCTTGAAGTGCTGTAGGTGAAAAATACGTGTAATGATGGCTTTTGCTTATTTTGGGATTCATTTTTTCTCATTTGTCCGCTCATATACTTTAACTTGTTGAGATTTAGCTGAGACTATATTGAATAGTGAATACAGCAAGTCACACCTTGTTTAACGAAAAATAAAGACGAGTTGGAGTGGGAGGGGCACAATATGGGGTTAGGGGGAGGGAAGACAGGTGGGTTACAATTATCAAATTTAAACTACTTTATCTTGCTGTATCCTTCGTCAATACAATATTAGACTGGAATTTGGTCTTTTCAAACAAAGTATTTCTTTCAACTTCTTTCAAACTTATTCCCTACCAAATCAATCGACTTTTTCGTATTTGATAGAGTTCATCTTTCTGCTATTTATATGCTGCATATACAAAGCAATTTTGATTACTTTCCACAAATTTCCACACTTCGAAACAACTCATTAGAGTTTGTCACGAAGTCGAAAGTTTTCGAATTTTATGACTCGCGGCAGCTCTTATGCTAATACGCTTCGGCAGCATTGGAAGAATATTATGCGCTTAGCCATTATAAAAGCTGTAATAGGATGCAGTGAGGAAAAAAATGGAACATTGAAGGAAAAACGGTGGTAGAACTTTTGCTTGTTGAAAGGAGAAGTATCTCGGGGACGGAAATGGCGAATTTGGTCATAAATGGCATAATTTTACAGCTTTTCGCGATGATTTTATGGGCTCTTTCTCCGATTTCTTCGATGCTAATCAAATTTACTGATCTTTCTTATTTCCAGGCAATGCGTCGTTACACAAACCGATGTGAAGATGCTATTGCCGACAATTATCCACAGGGTATGGTTGACAATACTTCTCAGGTACGTTTTGCCTACTTGTTCACTTGCGGTCACCACTGCAGTTCCCCACATTTTAGATTGCTCGTCTCGGCAACCGTGTTCTCATGGCAGCTCAAAATGAAGCTGAAAACTCCGAGGAGCCAGCATATTGCGATCGAGTAAACAGTGCGGCGAACCAAGTGCGCTCCGGTGAGTTCCAATCCCATAGTTCTCATCACCGCGGAAGTAATCTGCTTCCCCTCCTCCTCCCCCTTCCCTTGTTACTTGCCTCCCATACTCTTCCCTGGCGCGGTTACCCGACCCACATGAGAAAGATGCCCTCTTCTAATTCTGTGCGATGGCGTCGCGATTCTAGCGATGATGAATATGAGTATGAGTATTCATATCGCCCTATATTGTTGCCATATGCTGTTTCGATCGAAAATTTCTCTACTGATCCACGAATATGCATTCGTAAGTTTGTGATTTTGAAAAGACGTGTGATCAGTCTTTGTTCCAAGTGTACTGATTGAGAGTCAAAATTAGTGCTTCACAGCTTGTGATGTTAGGACAGGGCTCTGCACGAGCTGGCATCAGGGAAATTTCACAACGTCCCCTTTGAGTTTCAGAATTTGGTACAAATTCCCCTGACCCTAAACTCTAAACGTAACCCTTTAAAAAACGAAACATCGACTAAAGAAAACGTCGAAATTTTTGTGTTATTTCAGCAAAGACGATGTTTTTTTGCCCCTTTGCTTTTTGTCCCAAGAATGATATCCAGCTTGACTCGGTGCCAGCTGTGCCGAGCCCTCTGTCAGGAAGTTGCAATTTTGGCGAATGGGAGTGGCGGGAGCGAATTATCAGCCAATGACGCCTAGATGATAGAGGTAGCAACCCGCACCATCGTCGGAACAGCTATACGGCTGAGTGACCAAGCTCATATAGCGCCAGTGTCTCAAATGAGCGACCTTTTTACATCTTGTGGAACATATCTTGGACCCAGCACTTTCGCAAGATCAATTTGTGATTCTGAAAAAACAAAACTCATGTATAATCAGCTACTTAGTTTCCACAATATTTAGATTAGAAGCTAGCTACTTCATTATTTCTTGCCATACAAGGACCTCATAGTAGCAGCTCCCCAACGCTTTTTCTGTCCCTGTGAAGCATTCAAATGACGGAGCAGGGCCCGGCACAGATCGTTTGGAAGCAGGCTGCACTTCTTTTTTGGGGCGAAAAAGAAAGGGGATATCGTTCTTGTGGGTTTGAAAAAAACACAAGTTAGGTTCTTTCATTCGACGGATGGATAAGGTCAAAGGGAACTTCGTAGAATTTTTCGAAAGTCAGGGGAAACTTCGTTTCCACGGACTCATACTGAGTCTCGTCTCGGAGTACGCTCAAAAATTCTATTAGTATGTGTAATGAACATCTATGAGATGAGAAAGCGTCTATACGATACAGAGCGGACAATTGGTACACATCATAACATGTGGGGGTGCATGGTTTGTAGCAGATGTCCAATGTCGAACGGCGCCTGTTACATGAGTCCACCACTTCTGAATGTTGCAGGGTTGTGTATGTTTATGGCACTTATGAGACATGGTATTGGTAGGCATACAAAACACAGATTAACTCAATAGCGGTTGGAAAATTTTTCTGATGACGCAGTATTTCTAAAAATTAGTAGGGCAACTCTACAATGATTTCATGAATTGAATGCAAGATACTTCTCACATTCACATTTCCAATCTAAGTGAAGCTGATATCACTTCATCCGTTAATGGTTTTGTGTAAGAATCATGATTGTCAGGGCGATATACCCGGAATTCTCGGCAAATACTAGCCAACATTATCGTCATACATAAACTTTCTTAAGAACTTCTTACTGTGCCATTATTTACCATAAGGACAAATACTCCTACGCCCTGTCAACGGCTTCTTCTTCTAGTCGGCACGTAGGTGACGGTCATTTGAAGTACGCAAAACGTCATGGTGACTGAAGAAAAGTGTTGAAAATGTGTGGAATGTGGCTAAAAGTATCTGAAGAGATGTCGTCATTTGCGTGGTGCCCATCATCCTAAGAAACAATAATAAATAGACAACTTAGTGTTTATCTAATATGTTTGTTGGTGACAACTGCCCCTTCAACGTAGGAGGGATCATGACAGCTGCGAAAAAAATACGTCATTACTTCCTGAGCCCTCAAAAAGAGCAGTTCGGCAGTTCAGCTCCTGCTTGTCCGCCTCTGTCTCCAGCATTTTATAGTTTTTTTGGTTGGAACGGAAGTGGTTTTTGCTAAATCTAAACTCTATTAATCTACAATCCAAGCTGAATGCCTGTCATGCTAGCATGTAAGTCATCTGTGACCCTGTCAAATAGAGATTTAGTAAACTTTTGAATTTTATCCTGAGTTTTTTTCCAGCTATTCCTCCAATGGTGACGCAAGCGAAGCAAGTAGCCATGAGTCCTCGCGATACTGGAGCTGCGAACGCCTGGCGCAGTGCTAACGATCATCTTCTGGATTCTGTCAAAGCTGTCGGAGATGCCATAGCCGGTATCCAGAATGGTCGACATTCAGCGTATCAAGATAGCCTGAGCAGAGCTTCGCCGTATCAGCCACCACAGGTGACTTTTTCCCCTCCTCCCTGTTCCTTCCGAAAAAATTCTTTTTTTTCAGCAATCATCACAAGTTTTGCGCTCAGTTCCTCCACAAGCTCCTACTCCACCAGTGATACATAACAAGATGATCATTCGAGAGGAAATTCCAGCGCCACCAAGGCCACCACCACCGGTTGAGATTAGTCCACCTCCACGGCCACCGCCACCGCCAGAGTATGATGACGAAGAGGAGACGAGAGCGTTTTGGGAGAGGTAGAGATGGTTTTAAATTTTATGGCGCTCTTATATTGCATCTTTGAATTCTAGGTATCCGCTGCCACAAGCAAGCCATCAGCCAATCTTGTCGGCTGCTCATTCCTTGCATAATGTGAGTGGTTGAACAATTGCTTTTCTTCTTTTCCATTTTTTAACGGAACTATGCTAAAGTTAGCTTACTGTCTGCTTAGATCGCAGTGCTTTCAGAAACAATTAGTAGTACTGAGGTGTCTAGCCGTTGTATTTTTTATTTTTTAGAAGGTTCATTTTCCATTTGGAAAGTTATAATTAGTGACCCCTGCGACTTTGATCGCGAAAGTACTAGTACCCGCTAAGTTGTTTATAATCGTTGATCGAGTGGGTGCAAAACATCGCACTCGCCCACCAGCGATGTCCTCAAATCTACTAACATTGTCACTAGCATGGAAACAATGTAACATTCCAGGAACTCAGACAATGGTCAAGTCAGGAAAATGAAATCGTAGCCGCTGCAAAGCGTATGGCTATTTTGATGGCACGTCTTTCACAACTTGTACGCGGTGAAGGTGGCACAAAGAAGGTAAAGGTTTTCTACATTTTTTGATGAGTGGAAAGTGGAACATCTGTAGTGAATTTTCTCTAGGAGCTTATGTTTTTGATCTCTGAAACTCTAATTATAACGCTCTAGGATTTGATCGAGTGCGCTAAGGCCATTGCCGACTCAAGCGAGGAAGTCACCCGGCTTGCTGTTCAACTTGCTCGTCTCTGCACAGATCTCAAGATGCGAATGGTTTGTTGAATTTTCCGATCCATGAACATATTGACACACAAAATTTCGCGTTAGGGTCTTTGCATCAACATCGTCGAGAAAATTACGTGGTTTTTTGATCTTGTGTTTGTAAATCTCTATTGTGTTACTTTAGAGCTTTCAGAGTAGTCCGTTTTAGGCCTGTAGGTAAATGTCGTGGCTATGCGCTACCTATATAATATGCTGGATAATGCGAATATCTGCCTTTTTTCTGATAGCCATTAGTTCTAGGCTCTTCTTCAAATGGCCGAACGAATCCCAACGATCGCCACACAGCTGAAAGTGTGCTCGACGGTGAAGTCAACCATGTTCGGCACATCGAGTAAGTCACTGGAAATAATTCTCTTTACCAAAGGTCGTGGATGCGCGGTAGGAGACCGAAGAAACTCTAATTGTTGGCGCCCCAGCGCATGTACGTAATTGCAATCGCACTAGGCAAACAAAAGCTTGAGCGACAGAGTTATTGATCGGGCAAAGATTTGAAGTTCCTGATTTGCCTCTGTTTGTGAGAATATCTTACAATAGTGCTCATAATCCGTCAAAAAAGTCACTGAAATCCACTAAAGGTCACCGAAATCCGTAGCGATCGCCATATCTGGGTGCAGAATGGACTATATTCTGATTCCAAGAGCACCGTTCGGCTCGGCTTGATGAGCGGCACCTTCTGGTATGTAGAAGTGCCCGTTTGGATACCGATGACGGTCAGATTTCACAGGTTTTTACATAGGATAGGTCACGCAGTGTACGTTACGTGATGGAAAATCTTACCCTGAACAAAAATCTGAGAAAACTGGTGAAATCTGATCGGTGTCGTGCACCTAGCATATCCATACTGCATTTCTATACATTAGAAGATGCGCCTCGCCAAGCTGGGTCGAAAGGTGTTCTTGGATTCAGAACTTGTCCACCATGAACCAAGATGTGGCGATGCGACGCGGATTCGGTGAACCACTGTGGATCTTGGGGACTTTCTAGACGTGAGCGGGATACTTGGGGAAATTAGAAATTTTCCACCAAATTTATGAATATCGAATGAATTCGAAAATGAAGGATTTCGAATGAACGAATATTGAAAAAATTCGAGACTTGAAAATATTAATGAATGAATCCCGAATAAAGTGGGAAAATCAAAATTATCGAATGAATGAATTTCGATCATATTCAAAGTTGGGAGTCAAATCTCGAATAACTATTCGAATGAATTATCGAATATCTAAAGCAACATATCTAAAATTGCTAACATACCGCTGATGCCGATTCATTCATAATCAACACCCTCACCCCCCTATACCAACTCCCAGCTACGTAGCTCAAGATTATCCAAAAATTGGTAAAATTGATAGAGTAGTTTTTAACAGTAATCAGCACCCTCGCTTACCCTACTGTCCAGCTCCCAGCCTCGTAGCTTAAAGTTGTGTAACATGAGTTTTACAAGCAAGAATGGAACTAATAGAATAGTATGGAACTTTGCGGTCCGAAAGTATGAGCAACGCGAAGGATAAGAATGACATGTCAACACATTTTCAGTATACGAACTCGGACCACGAGCTTTAATTCAATAACTTTTTTTTTGCTGATATGGTGTCAATAGCATTGGGAACTATCTCTTTGATCGACACTTCTATTTTTTTACTGCAAGCAGTTGGAGGAATGCGAGTTTCCATACAGTTCAAAGGTGATCAAGGCTGCAAAAAGATGCGTTGTCGAGTTCCGTGAAAAAAATACGCAGACTAAGCGAACTTGATACTTAGCAGTTGGCTCTGCAATAAACTCGAATAATTCGAACACGGATTTCACTCGAGTACGAATTCGAATAAAACATCCGAATAAAATCTATTAAAAACCCTGTTTTTTGATTATTCGATTTTCAAATTTTATTCTTTGATTATTCGAATCTTCGGATTTCATTTGCCCCCGTTTTTTGATTCTTCGAGTTTCGAATTTTATTCGAGAGCTCCAAGTTTTATTCGAAAATCAAAAAAACTTCGAATATCGAAATTCGAATGCGAATATATTCAAATGTTTTATTTGAATGATCGAATTTCTATTCGACTTGGACCCAAGTACAGTGAGCGGTATCATAGTCGAATTGCTAGGTTAGGCTGCTATGTTTCCGTTAACCTCTCTGAGTATATCGAGTATAGCTAGATCAATAAATTAAACTGCTAGATGGAATTTTTTTTCGTTCGCATATTTTCTTATACAATTACTCTTCCAGTGACCATTGGACCATATGGAGAACAAGTGGACGGTAATATTTAAGAGCATTGTGCGGCATGCGTTTGTATCCAACTAACAGTTTATTGTGTGCTGCATCTTACACTTTGTGATAATCTTGAAATTCGAATTCGTGAAGAACATATGGTACCAGAAAAATCGGACTTTACTTGAGTGAAACACTTCCCCAGTATAGTTTTTGTTTTGTTCCCATTTACGATAACATCTGGTGTGCAACTCATGAACTTCCGAAAAGAACCCTACCGGAGTCTGTGACTTTTCCAGGCAGTGAAGAAGATATCGAAGCTATGGAACAACTGGCGCATAATGCACAAAACCTCATGCTTGCCGTCAAGGATACCGTACGAGCAGCAGAAGCGGCCAGTATTAAGATCAAGACAAACTCTGGTCTTCGCCTACGCTGGATTCGCAAACCAATGTGGTCAAATTTCTAAGCGCGCCATACGTATTTTCTCTCTCGTCTACGCTCAATTCCTTCAAGCGCTCACCGTGAGTGTATCCCTCATCATACGTCCTTTCATCCATCGGTTTTTACCGTTTTCTCAAGCTTATCGATTATCGATAGTTGTTCTACAGTTGCATAATTTAGTCTTCTTCACGATTCAGTTGCTCTGCTGGTGTTATGCAAAAGTGCCTTTCTTTTTTTTTCCTTCGTTTTTTTGTGTGAGAAAGTCAGCCTTCTAATAGCTCTATTCAATCACTCAACCTGTGTGCATTTTGTGTGCAATTGCGACACCGCAACACCACTGCCTTGGCTAAGACTCAAATGGCTAATCGATTATCGATTATCATCGACGAACTAGTCTTCTCTATAGCTCATATTGATTATGCTGTACATTTCTCTATTTTAGTAATGCAGAGATAATGAGACAATGCTATGATTTTATCTCTTTGTTTATGTGTACATGCTGCGGATAAAGCCTGTTTGTGTTTTGCGTTTTCCGAGACCGCATTTTTTTTCTAGCGATTTGACAATTTTTGGACCCACCATCTGCAAAATCAACGCTAGAATACAGGGGAAGTTAGGATTTTTCGAAAGGGTTCTGTTTGCAAAGTGATAACTATGGATAGCCCTTAGGATTCTAAGCTCGATTCGGACCAAGTCTGGGATGTTACTTTTTGTTTCGATACAGCGGGCTCAATTTGAAACAAATCTGATTGAAACGGTGACTTCGCGTGCCAGCCGTAGCCTATTCGAGCAGACGCTTCGAACAAAGAGAAGCCCATGTGTAGGGAATGGGACATACAACTGAAGTACAAGAAAGCTACTGCACAATAAGAGCAACTTTGATGGTATCTCCGTACACTTCTGAGAAGTTTAGCAAGGTTGCTCGGTCATTCCAAAGATTTGATTGACGTGTTGGAGGCAGTGTCCGGGCAGGCATGACCGCCGTCGGATTCCATAGCGATTCTCCTTCTTAACCTTGGCGGCAGGCGTCCAGATTCAAAATCAAGGGTTTCTGTGATAGTCAATTTTCGACATTTACGTGCTTCCCAAGTTGCATTTTGCGGAATCAGCGGGGAGGATAAGCCCAGGTGAGCAACAAGGATCTTTCGAAATTGTGGTCGGATGCTGCTTTGGTCTGTAGGTCCACAAGCAATAAAATCGTCAGGAGTTCTGCTGTCGCGATCGGCTAGGAACTAGCGACGAAACTTGCGACGGCATCGCTAATCGCTCGGACATGGGCATACCACTGCAGCGACTTGTGCATTCTCACAATCCAGCGCATTCTACGAATCCTTGATAGCTCGTCGCTAGATTTTTTCCCCTCGCTTTGATAGCAAGAGCACAAAGTAATAAAGGCAAAGCTTTTAGTTATCGGCTTCAGTATTTACCCTATGAATGATGTTCAGGCTTTACGCCTTCTAACAATGCAAGTATACATACATTTTCCATCGAATTTACCTTCTTTGTAAGTGGGTGAAGTTGTATGTTGTTAACTGTTTCGATGTGATCTGATTATCGAATCATTATATCGAATCGAATCGATCATTTAGTTGGGCCATCAACAAAAAAAAACAAGACCTTTTACTGATTCTTTGTTATAGCTCAATCTTGCATATCAAATGCCTTTAATATGATCTGAACTTCGCTGGTGCTAATCCATCTCGATTGATCACTGCATTAATGCTTCTGTTGATCTGAAGTTTCACGGTGCTCATTATCTCATGCGTGTAAACACATTGTTATTCGCATACTTATCGTAATGCATATTTGGTATTTGATCGAATTTTGCCATACAGTGCTGGACATAATTATAGAGACACTCTAGAAATCGTCGTAATTTTCGTTCTTGTCAGTGAATCTGTCTGAAACTTTGCTGTATGGTGCGCATGTAAGCCTACCATAACTCCTTAGAACGGCTTCCAATCCCGTTGATTTCGAACGGAGAAAAATGGAAAAATTCGAAAAAACCTGTTTTGTAAGCTGGACGTAATTATAAGGACACCTGGCCTTTTTAAACATTATCGCATCCCTTGACTCCCAAAATTTTTTTTGTAGAGTTACATCCCAGAATATGAAACTTTTGCAGCACCTAGGCCTGTCATGCTACTCAGGAAAGATGATCCTTGCATTTTTCGTTTCCAAAGGCATCAGAAGTCAAACTGCGTCAACAAACAGCTGGTTTGAGGAGTTTTCAAGCCCGCGTTCATTTCAAATGACAGTCCTGGAATACAACTAGCCTTTTTGATAGATAAGGTGAAGAGCTCTTTCGTAACTAATCGCTGATATTGACAATCAGACTCCAACTCCCTCATAAGATTGTCACGCTTTTACACCACGAAACTCACTTTCCAATGTTCGTAAACTGATGGACACGATTTATTACATTGTCTACCTGGAGATGCATCTTTTGCAACAACTTTTAGATTTTTTCTAGTGCTGCAGTTGCCATTTAGATCTGAAATACTTTCAACGAAAATTCTATGCGAGCAGTAGTTTCAACATAATCACAAATCTCACTATTTTATTCTCTGTTTCATGTCGCATTTTGCGCGGTAGCTGAGATTAGCAAGATTTTGAAGTTTCAAGCGGTCTCCTGTTCGAATTCTTGATTTGAGTTGGATATGATTGTGCAGGGTGCTCGACTCAACTCTCAACGGGTGACAACTGCGGCTGAACCAGAATGTGCAACCCCGAAATTTTTTCCTGACTAGGCACACAAGTTTATTGTTATACGTGTATTGTGCGGCTACATTGCAGCGTTTTCTGTAACTTGAAAATCGAGTTTTGTGGTGCAAAAGCGCGACAACCCTATGGTGAGATTGGAGTCTGATTGTCAATATCAGCGATTACGCGGAGTTTACGAAATCGCTCTTCACCTTATCTATCAAAAAGGCTAAGTGTATTCCAGGACTGTGATTTGAAATGAACGCGGGTTTGAAAAGTCCTCAAACCAGCTGTTTGTTGACGCAGTTTGACTGCTGATGCTTGGAAACGAAAAATGCAAGGATCATCTTTCCTTGAGTAGCATGACAGGTCCTAGGTGCTACAAAAGTTTCATATTCTGAGATGTAACTCTACAAAAGAATTTGGGAGTCAAGGAATGCGATAATGTTCAAAAAGGCCAGGTGTCCTTATAATTAGTCCAGCTTGCAAAACAGATTTTTTTGAATTTTTCCATTTTTCTCCGTTCGAAATCAACGGGATTGGAAGCCGTTCTGAGGAGTTAATGTAGGCTTACATGCGCACCATACAGCAAAGTCAGACAGATTCACTGACAAGAACGAAAATTACGACGATTTTAGAGTGTCTCTATAATTATGTCCAGCACTGTAGCATTTCTCTAGTTCGCTCTATGTCTTATCTCCATATGTCGACGTTTTGCATTGTTATTTTTATTCTATTTTATTCGATACCCTCATGGCGTTCCATTACAAACAAACTTCCATTACAAACGAACAAAAACCCACAGTTATACATAAACTAACCATAAGAATAGATCATCATGCAGTTCAGGTCTAATTTTTTGAACTAAATCAGTAAATGTCCTAAAAAAACCAGCTTGAGAAAGTAAAGAATGATCATACAAACTTTCGGCAAAAAACCTCAATTCTAGCGATACCATCGCGTCGCTCGCTTTAAACGAGCGACGCGAATTTGCTGGGATGAGCGACAATCGCGAAGATTTCGCTCAGCTGGGTATGGGCTAGCAAAAACGGTCAGCGATGCGTCGCGTCGGACAACTAGCACATATCGAGCGGGCATGCCATGCACGTGTAACAGTTGTCCTTTTACAGTCGCGATGCGATGGATCGCTGCCCGGTATGCCGGCCCTTCTAAGGACTTAGGCATACCTCCAGCGTCCAATCGTCACGATTTCCGATCGCTGCGACCAGACGGCCTGGGCGACCGTCTACTGCGTTGAAATCGCTCGTCGCTCGACTCTTGGGCATACCCGTAGCGATTTGTGAATGCTCACACACCACACCGCATTATACGCAGTTGCGCTAAATTCCCTGAAGCGCATTTATTCGAGAGAATTCGAGCAGAATGTGGCGCCATATGCTTTAAGAGAACATTACATTAAACAAGGATATGGATTCATATCCCAGTATTTACCGACGTTTTTGTGCTGGCGTAAGTTTAGTAGTTACATCTGCTATAAAATCAACAACTAGTTCATAAAGTTTTTGAGTTCCCTTTCAGTCACTGACAGGCATACAGGTTAGCTTTGTTGTAAAATCATGCTTTCGTCTTTGTAGAAAACTCTGAGTAGGCTGTTTCAACACCGAGTGCTACGCGAGCTCTTGTCTGCCAATCTGCGAATGCTTATACAAATCATTCATTCTCTGACTAAAAGACACCAGCAAGCTTTGCGTACGTTTAACTAGCAAGTTCACGAGTAAGGTTCTTGGTGAGACATGTTCAAGCTCGTAAAACAACGCGAGATCATGTTTATGCACAAATTCCCAATAGTGACTTACCAAATCGCTTTAAAACGCACTAGCAACTTATAAACGGAACGTACGCGAATTTGCTCGTGTCTCTTAGTCAGACAATGAACGATATATGTCTGAGCGACCGAGATTGCACATCTATTCTATCCACTTCGGAAATTATAGCAGAACATTCGAGATTCGGTCACTACTTGTAATCAATAAACAAGAACAGGAGAAGATTAATACATTGCGAGAAAAGTAAATGCTAACAGAGAGGGTGAGGTGACATGTGAAAAGCATTCCATACGATATAACTCGCATGTGTTGTTTTCAAGGATTAATAGTATGGAATGTTCGATGACCATCCTTCTCTCATGCAGAGAGAAAGCGCTTGTGTGAGATGGATTAGTCCTAGATGGAATTTGCTTGCAAGAAAAAACCCACAAAACTTCATAACAAAGGAGAAGCTATTCGAGCGATTCGCTCATCGCTGGGTCGGAATTAGCGACGGCGACATCGCTGAGTTTCAGCGATGTCGCGACGATTTCCTTGCTGAGGTATGCCCGTCCAAAAACGGCCCGCGATCCGTCGCGGCGTCGATCTAACACAGACGCGGCGGGACCATACAGTTGGTAGCGCGTGCGCTGCGGACTCGGAACACATGTCCGAGTTGGAAAAAGCGACACGACTGGGATCGCGGGAGGTATGCCTTAGGCCCCGGGCAGACTTCACGCAATTTGATCGTCGCGACTGAATCGCGACGAGATAACTGTTACAACATCATTCCATGCCGATCAACTTGCATTCGGTTGTAGTACTTTTCCAGCCCGAAATTTTTGAATGTGAAATGAAAATGAATGGAAGTCTTGGCGATTAGATCGCGACGATTAAGTCGCGTGAAGTCTGCCCGGGGCCTTAGGCCTAAGGGTCTGATACTTGCATGACATGATAAGATTATCTATAATGACGCAACCGCGCGTATGATCGGCCCTGTACTCCTAATACTTAGTAGACAGTCCGTTTGGCAACGAAGGAGCTTAAGGTGTTGTGGAGGCTTGCCTAGTCATTTTTTGCCTGTAGAAAATTGAAGTTTCATGTTACTTTTTAGAAGTCACTTTCGTTAAGAAGAAAATCCCTCATTTTTCTTGTACTTTATACTCTTGTTTGGCTAGAAATAAGCTGTGGAATACGAAAGGGGGCAAACAGTGATGCAATACTTGGAACTAACGATAGGAAAAGCCGCCACTGTTGCATTTAACATGATATCCACTTCTAGATTTAGTGCTCAAATAATGGGGGTGAAAATGTTTTCTTTGCAAGAAGGAAACTGTTGATCGCGCGAGAAATGCAACAGAAAAATTCAAGAGCTAAGCTTGCAGAATCATTTTTAAGATGACTAGTATCACGGTGGCTTCTTCAAAAACGTCACATGAGTGAGTTCTCTTCAAGTTTCTCGCACAGTAATGCTGGAAGCAATATCGTATACATGTGTCCAAACTCGATGTCATGTTATAGTCTCTGCGCTGTGAACAAATCAAGTGCTTTTCTTAGCATTGCGCTTGAGTTTTGCGATTGTGAGAAAAAAAAACAGTTGTGGTGTTCTAATCGTTTCGACCTACCCTTTGCTTTTTGTCCCAAGAAGGGAATCCAGCGTGTTTCCATAACTTTTGTGCTAGCCCTGAAGGTTGTTCACTTTATCTTACTAATCATTTGAAAACGCGTACAGTCGAATCATTTCATATGATCATGTGTGCATTGCATACACCGTCCATCTTTGGCGTTCTCATCCTGAATTCGCAATCGCAAAAACGCAAGAGGTTATCGATTGCTATCGCTTGTATCATTTTGAGGTGATTAGTGCCTCAAAAAAACATTGGAAACATATCGAAACACTTTTCGAAAGGGTTGGCTCCCGCAAAAGCTCAGGATGCGAACGCCAAAGGTGGACAATGTGTGCAGTGACACACATGATCAATGAAATGATTCGACTGTACATCGGTGAAACAAACGGGACACCTCCCCGACTAAAGGAAGTTCAAGTATTTGAGTACTGCCATTGTAAGTCAACAAATTCAGATGAATGCGTTTACAAGCAACCGGTTTCGTGCCTCAAAATTATACCGATGGGCAGCTTTTTTGCAGGCCCTCGTCAGTAGACAAAGCTTCAGAAGATGTAAATTGATGGATTTTGCTTTCCATGAGTAAGAGAGGAACGGAAAGATGTAAAAGGCGTTTGTAAAAGGACGCAGATGAACAACTTTGAATTCTGGGGTGAGCATAGAACTGGGCACCAAATGACTGTTGAAGTATCGCATCACAGATTTTAGTAATCGTTTGAGAATATTCATCAATACCGGGAATCACGAGCGTAGCTCCTTTGACCCGAGCAAGCTATAGAAAAGAGAATGATTGCTCTTCTCACTCAAGTGGTACAAAAATGTAATGAGGAATTAAATCAGGCTCCCTTGAGCCGAGCAAAGTAGAACTAGACCTGCTTATCACAGGTGGTTTTTTTTTGAAAGATGTAACTTCTTTGGGCCAACAGTGTATATTCAATTATTGACCCTCAACTCGTCCCAAATTAGCGACTTGCGAAGAAAGAAAGGTCAATTTGAAAATTGTTCTACCTGTGTAGCTTACTGCCAGGCGTAGCAGAGCTGGAAAGCTGATTATGCTGGTTTCTGAGAAACTGCAGGGTATGCTATGAGCTAGATTGTAACTAAGGTTATGGTGCCCACGGCTTCTTAGGCCCGGACAGACTTCACGCGATTTGGTCGTCGCGACTGAACCGCCACGAGACAACTGTTACAACATCATTCCATGCCGATCAACTTGCATTTCGGTTGTGATACTTTTCCAACCCGAAATTTTTCAATGTGAAATGAAAATGAATGGAAATGTCGGCGATTGAGTCGCGACGATCAAATTGCGTGAAGTCTGTCCGGGGCCTTATACAGTGCAGTCTCAACAAAAAAAAAACAGCAACTCAGTATTGATGTGTTCTTTTGATTGCAGCACAGCGTCTACACCAAACACTTTATCGTAAACGTTTTGAAATTCCTGACAAAGTGTTAAGAGTCTATGGTAAGTTGATTGTGCCCAACAACTTCAACTTGTTGTTGGGGTCCATGGCGCCCACTTCCACAATTTTCGTGGCGTGTCTAGTCTTCTTATTACGCTGCAAATTTAGAAATTAATGGTGGGGTTGCAGAGATCGTTTAATTTTTCTTTGCAGACTATAACTGCTGCTATTGCTTAACTTTTACATTTCACAAGAAAGGAGTTTGACCATTTTAGAAGGCCAGTTTTTAGAACTTTCTCGCAAGAATGACAGTTGTGTGCATGATGCTTGTTTCTAGGTCTATAGGTATGTCAGCTATTTTTGATTAATCGAGGGAACTAAAGATGAAGTGGTCTTGTGATTTTTTGCTCATTAAACAGTGAACACAACACATGACGAATGCAAATGTTTGACACCGGCTAATTTTTGTTGTCTTGGTTGCTGTAGTCTATACAACTCTTCTTTTCATGGCAATTCTTAAGTAACTAGAAAGTCGGAGAAGAATAGAAAATGTTCTTTCTGCGAGCGGATTTTTCGCCTATAGTGACCGAACATCACGAGGATTGTTCAAAAAATATTAGGCAGAACATGAAACACCTAGAAAACAACTGTAGAATTGCTCAAGAAAGAGAAGTGATTGAACTGCCCATTTTTGACATTCTTCTTTCAAACAATGCCTATATACGGTCATCCACATACCTAATAACTTTTATACTTGCTGAAATGCGAAGTAAATCATTTTGACAATTTATAAAGTTTGAGCAGTATATGCGCACTGAAACATGTGAGACCAGCTAAAGTATCACTGCTGCAATGCGTGAAGAAACAGTCACCAAACCCACAATGGCTTGCTGGTCTCAGCGCTTATAATCAGGAAATATGGTCATAAGCATTTTCGGAGATGAAGGAGATGAAGATATGTGTCATTTGCTGCCTGGCAAATGAAAGCAGTTTTTTGGCTACTATCTGGTAAAGCTCTTTACGCTCTATCTATACATATGCAGTTTACCTCAATTTTTATCTACCTCCGAGAAATATAGACTGAGACATGATTTTTTGGTTTTATCGCGTCAAAACATCACAATTTTTCAAAGTTTTTCACCTTAATCTGGAAATAAAAAGGAATCCAACATATTCGATGTGCCATTTGAAAGAGCATGAAGGGCCTTTTGAATGGTATGAATGAATGGTATGAATGGTATGCTTTATGATTTATCGGTATGCAGCGCAAGTGAGAGATATTTGAAAAACCCTGTCCGACTTTTACATGGCGCCGCGAGCAGGGCTGTGGGAGAGGGTAACGCGTTACCAGGATGGGTTCCTTCATACTACGCCGCGTACGCCGCTGCAGCGCAATGGAAATATGCTCACGGCAGCAGAGCTCCACTTTTTTAGGTGTATCTCTATATTTGCTGCACATTCGTGTCCCTCAATAGTGTTCCTTCACATTATGCATTTCTTCCTCTCTTTTGCTTTGTTTATACTGTCTATCCTTTTCTATATCAATGATTGATGGAATGACTTAAGTTGTTGTGCTCCCTCTACTTTCGAATTTCACATTTTGTATCGTAAGTAACTGCACATTGCGTCATCTGGTTGTATAATGGTAGTATATGGTTGTATGGTTGTATGTTGTATCTGGTTGTGTATTTGCGCTGTTAACATCTCCTTACAAACACATCACTGGATGAAAAGGATTTCTCTTCTTTATACTGTTAGATAGCAGTTGCAAATTTGATGCGCCGTTGTTGCCGCAGTTTGTCTTCTTCGCTCACAAAACACCATTCAAGTTTCGACGCTGACTTCACAGTTCACAATGTTAACGTATCTGGGGGAAATAAATGATGAAATGACGCTCGTAATAATAAGCAATTATAGGAATGAGAATTATAGAGATACATCGAAAAAAGTGAAGCTCTGCTGCCGTGAGCATATTTCCATTGCGCTGCAGCGGCGTACGCGGCGTGCGCGGCGTAGTATGAAGAAACCCGATGGTAGGCGAAGACCGCTTATGTAAGCAACGTCTACGTTGCAGCCTGCTTGCTGTAGGTCGAAACAAAAGTTTCAAAGTAATGAAAATCAAACTACCCCATTTTTTGCTGTTCACCTTAACAGTTTTTCGCATTTCATTTCTGATATTAACAAGGGAAGTTCGCCGAATCGAAATGGCCGATTGATATGTGGTATATACCCGGACGCGGGGCTCGGGAGGTTAGTATCAAATGTGCGCCCATTAGCTGCGACGCGTTATTGTGAAGCAAGTTATGGTCCTCTGAAGTTCTTGGCGTGTGCACGTCTAGAGAACGCACAAATGCTCAGATTGTGGTTGTGTGGTGTAGTGGTTAGCGTCTCGGACGCACAGGTGACCGGTCTGGGTTCGAATCCTATTGCTGTCCACATGTTTTGCGTTCCTATCAAAATTCATTTTTTACCTGTTTTATGCAATACTGAGGTGAAAAATGACACATACGGGTGGTTAAACACTACTATTTATACATCCTGCCGTGTCATTCTCACAAGGTAGCCCATTAGCAAGAATCAATAGTACAACGTGATACAACTTGCCGATTGTCACGTAATTACTACGTGCAATCGAAGACAGTATGTGGGAGTGAGGATTTGGCAAATCTTCAAAGTCAACTGAAAAGCCGTCGCTAAAAATTCGTTGCTGTGTTCTATGAAAATTTTACATATGAAGCATTGGTCGAATTTTCGTGAGAAAAATCATCCCGTAACCCGTGTGTGTCATTTTTTACCTCATTAATACATAAAACAGGTAAAAAATGAATTTTGAGAAGAACGCAAAACATGTGGACAGCAACAGGACACGAACCCTCACTAGTCACCTGTGAGTCCGAGACGCTAACCACTACACCACACGACCACAATCGGAGCATTTGTGCGTTCTCTAGACATGCACACGCCAAGAACTCCAGAGGACCATAACTTGCTTCACAATAACGCGTCGCAGCTAATGGACGCACATTTGATACTAACCTCCCGAGCCCCGCGTCCGGGTATATACCACATATCAATCGGCCATTTCGTTTCGGCGAACTTCCCTTGTAAGAACAATTGTTAGGTTTCATTTCTCTCCCGAAAGGCGCAAAGCAGAACTTAGCTAGACTGAGATACACGAATACAGTGCTTTAGACGCGATAGGTATGTAGGTTTTCAGCGCAATTCTGCTTCACTTCTCCTTCTCCATAAATGATTTGGCAAAGTTTAAGCGCTTGTGAGACTATTAGTAAGGAAGTCTTATTTTTCTCTTCGAATGCGGTGCCTGAAAGAGCTGGTCGCAAAAAAGCTCATTGAAGACTTCACTTACGAGGACCGAGGACTTTAGTCAAAATGAGTAAGCGCGGAGATGTCTGTTACTGAAGAATGTTGAACACTCTCAAAACAGCAATCCTTATCTGCTGTGTATATAAGAGAAGCTGTGAAGTTACAAACAAACTGCAAAACCTTGTCTAGAAGGATTTGAAGCTGCGACTTTCTGTGCAGTCAACGAGAATTCACGCTACCCCTCAGCACTCATTGCAGGTTTTAGTGCTTATAAACCAAATTAGCTGTTACAGCCCTGTAGCCCGGCCCTGTTAATACACTATGATAAACGACATTCACCACTTCTAACAACATTGCCCTGTCCATGTCCTTTTCAAATGCCAGGTCCATATCCTCATTATGTTTTTAATCAGCATACTCATCTACACTTCCAACCCTGTATTAATCTCACCAGTCAAATTCTGGCGAAAAAATGAATATCAGCAACTGCAATGGTCATATCTTTAGTTTAATGTTGTTTGTTATCATCATGCACATTTACCCTGTGCCAACTCTCAATACTGTGGCTCAAATTGTGCAAAAAACTGAAAATTGAATGAAGCACTTGATGGTTTTGAAGATAAATATTGTATTTGCAATCAGTATGCCCACTAACTGCCCCCTCCCTTCTGCCAGCTCTCAATCCTAGCTCAAAGTTTGCAAAAATCAGAATGGCAAGGATGAGTTGCAACTTCTTTGGTGGCTTGCACGCTATTTGAAGATAGGCCATCTGGGGCGGTATGCACCATTCTTTTTGAAAGCGGGCGATCATTTTCAATAGAAAAGAATCGTCCTCTTCGTTGGGCGCCTGACCCGACCCGTGATGTCTGATTTCTACTGAAAATGATTGCCCGCTTTCAAAACAAGAGATTGGTGCACACCGCCCCTGATGATCCAATTAATAGTAACTTACCGGTGCTAGGACAAAGAGGAACGAAATTTTCACAGTCAAAAGAACAAACAAAACTAATGCTAATGCCACTCCTGCGCTTTTCAAGCGGCCTGTGCGATTAGCGCAAATTATTGCGAAGCAAGGATCAAGCCCAGCTTGACTTGTACACCTCTGAGCATTCTGAATTTGTCTCACCTTCACACCGCAGTTATGATTTATGTGTAGATACAATTCATGCTTGCCATCCAAAAGTCCTTCATTGACGTCCTCTGTCGTCAGTGCGAAATTCATTTGTGAATCACCACTTAGGCTTTTCTTTGTTCGAGAGGAGAGCACATTATCCTTACCATACGAGCCTTTCTAAATTTCAGCAACATCGAGTTACCACAAGCATGCTATACATAGCATGCTTACCTGCACCAACCAAACATCTACCCAGAAAAGTTGGTTCGGACTCGACACGTTTCCCTCACGTTGTGGCATTCGAGTACAGTTTAGCTGAAATCCCACTGAGAACACTACTGCATCTACTGCCAATGCTGCTGCAAGCTGAAAGCATCTGTCTCTTGTTTTACTCTCGAGTTTCGCAACTCACCAAAATCAGAAACGAATTCATGCAGCTTTGAGCCATTTGCGAAGTAAATGAGGTTGACTCAGACTATATAATCTCACAACAACCTGAAAGTGAGTAGGGTGAATGAATGAACATGCACTGTTTGCTATTCATCTATCATCTTTGAGTATGCTTATCATCTACTCTGACTTTGGAACTAAGGCAGGCGCTATACTCTTCGAGGAGTATAGCATGGCGACGATCGATATGCATCAAATACGTATAAAATCGGCGATTTTTGTCGCCGATATTGGCGATCGCCAGTCGTAGAGACAGGCGATCGCCCGTCGTAGCGACTGGAGATCGCCAATATCGGCGACTACACATACAATGTGTATCGATTGAACGTGTGGTAACTTGTTTGGCGATTGGCGATCGCCAGTCGCCAGTTTGGCGACTACACGTTTGATACGTATCGATTAGCGACTGGCGATCGCCAATCGCCAAACAAGCTACCACACGTTCAATCGATACACATTTAATGTGTAGTCGCCAACACTGGCGACTAGCGATCGCCAATAATGGCGACTACACGTTTCATACGTATCAATTTGGCGTGTGGTAACCAGGGTAAAGCGGGAGGTGCGGCACGCCACATCTGGGGGGTTGTATTGAAAGGTCGGGAACGGGAGGGGTCGTTATCGAGGCTGTAATAAGTAAGCATTAACATAATATTCGAAACAATGTCAGATAGGCCCATTATGCCAAACACTAACACACTGATGGTTTAGCCTACCATTATACATAAATTAAGCATGATAAGAAAGCCCTAAAAGCCATGAGAGCATCACTTTCGTATTTAGCATCCTACTATAATAACGCGCTAAAACCGTCTGTTTTTTTTGTGTGTGTGTGTGTCTGTGTGTCTGTGTGAAAATCTGTCTGTCATGAAATATAGAGGAAGCTGCAACTAAGCTATCGGATTGCAATTTTGCATGACATACCGTGCCAGCGTGTAGGCCCACCATGCACAAGGACGAGCCAGTTTGATAAGCGGATCCCTCAAAATTTGGCGTCAAAAGGGTCCATGCGCCTTTTGGCACGCAAAGCTGGGTCGCTAATTCGACTTTTTGCAAAGTTATGATTTGTCTGACAAGTGACTCCGCGCGCCATGAATATCAGCCCAAAAAGTGCTCAAAAAGTTTGCTTTTTTTTTGCGAAAACAGCGCCAAAAAGTAATGAACGCGTAGACAGCCGATTTGGCAAGGTTTTATTTGAAAAAACTGAAGAGATTTTTGCACTGAAATGTAGCCCAAGGTGACTATTATCCTTATGACTATTATCAAACTAAAATAAATTCAGTAATCCGTTCAAATTCGCATTTGTTTCCTTGCAACAAAATTTTTTTCTCAAAATTACCGATCTTGCATGGAGATGCTTCATGAATGAACAGTTGTTTACGATTCATTTGTGATGCTCAGCATCGCGTGGTGAGCTTCAAAGCCATTCTCATGCGAACATGAGAAAGGCATATGGATAGGGAGCCAGTGCGAACCTCCGCGAAGCGGAAGTTACGCACTGGTGTCAAATAACCCTTATGGACCAAGTTTTATCGAATTCTGAGGTTTCCAAGTATTGGGAACTGAATGTTCCAAGTATTGGGAACTTTAGAAACAAAGTTGATTATGTTCGAAAATGACCATTTCACTCAAGTGAAATGGTCATTTTCGAACATAATCAACTTTGTTTCTAAAGTGAATTAGCTATCCGTTTTTTGCACTCAATAGACACCACCTCCTTCTTTGTCCACCTCAGAAATCCCGCTTTTAAAGACCTCCAAACTGTGGAATTAGAAGCCAACCAAAATCTCATTTTCCCATTCTTCGCTTTATGGCTGTGCTTTCACCAAATATTACTCAGAGCTAAGAAGACGAATCAGGCTCAAAACATTCCTAGGGAATCTATGAGGTTTAGGCTATTGATTCATATAAATATTGTCCGCTAAAAATGTTTTTTTGATATAGTTAATGGCCTGCGGCACCCCCCCCCTCAAAACCTGCGGCTGCCGCAGGTTTTGAGGGGGTGAGGTGCCGCACCCATTAACTTACCCTTAAAGCCGTTGAATGTCTACGATTTTAATGTCGTTGCTACCGCTCAACCTTCTTTTCTCTATAGTACATCCAAAACATTCCCGCACAGAATAAGATATAGCGCTTTTTCTACTAACTACCATCCATCGTGCGGCTTCCAAAATATCGGATTACGGTAGCACGCAAATTCATCTTGCCGCCTTTCTGCGTTAACACGTTGACGACAACGCGAATTTTTAGTTGTCTACCTTGTGGGACAATGCCTTCCACGAATAAGTCGAAAAATTTGAGCTAACATCATGCAGATCATGATCTCTACAGCATACCTATACAAATTCTAAGAAGCAGCCAAAAAACGTCAGGTTATCCTCTAAGGTCAGGGCGTAAAAGTCCTCTTGAAACGATTGTACCCAATTATTGTAACCATTTTAAAAAAATTTAAGCCGTGACCCACCATGTGGGTCACATTGTCCCACGTGGCAGTCATTGCATGACCCACCATGTGGGTCACGTTGTCGTCAATGTGTTAATGCGTAAACGATGCAGAAAGGCGGCAAGCTAAATAATTTGGATGCCTCCCATTGTTTTTGAATTTGTACTTCTTTTCGTCGGTTTCCTTATATGAGGCCTTTCTTTCAGACACCGAGACCTTTTACGGAAATGGGACGACAAATCTACAGTCTGGTTCTTGATTCCTCCCAAAAATGGAATGGCGCTTACAGCTTGGTTTTCCATATTTAGAGGGATCTTTTTTGTTTCATGCAATCTGACATTCAAAAAGTAAGTTTTTCTTCGCACAAGCCAGCTGTGCTTTGGGCAAGCTATACAGTGTGCTTTTTGAAATTCAAAATTTCAAAATTTCTATTCAGTGTCATTTTTCATTTTGCATAATGTGATTATCTTAAAAAAGCCTACAAACAGTTTTTGCTTGACAGGTTCCATTGGCAATGTTCTCGCTGGCAGTAAAGTAGGTCAACTATTTGTGTACAGTCCCAGACGTGCTAGTAGGTTTATTTTTCGTATTTTATTTCTTATTCATAAGGTACAGTTTATTTGAGACCGTCGTGGTTTTGACCTCGACAACCTTTGCAAGCAGTTTGAGAGGAAAGCTGTTTTGGAGTTGAAAGTATGTGAGGAACAAGATTTGTTGTTTTGTGTCTCCGATGGGCAGATGGCTGTTCACTCACTGAGTAAGTTTCAGTTTTCAAACTTTTTATTCGCTCTATCGCATTATATGTCCAGGAGACCGGCATTATCCCGTCATCAATATTCTCCATAAAATAAAGTCTGTACAATGCTTTACCACTTAGTATCGTAAGGTTTGCATTCTCATTTCTTTTCTTGTCAGCGGATCAGCACTGATCATTTATGTTTTATAGGACGAAGATATGATGCACGTTTTCGTCTCATCGAAAAACGACTATATCTATTCAACTTTGAAGTCAGTTGACGGACTTTTTTCTAAGCACCTGACAAATTTTAGCTAGTTTTTTATCGTTTTTATATTTTCAGAGTTGTTGATGACACAGTGTTCCTGAGTTGTGGTCGGGAATACATTCTTATGAAGCTTATTGATAAACATTATTAATTATTAGCTACATTATTAGCTTATTGATATATTATTGATAAGCACTGATGAGGAGCAGGTTTGGATTTTTTTTGCGTTCATCGTCGTAGCTCTCTCCTCTCTGTTTGTTTGATGCTTCTGCTTACTAGCTCTTACTCGGTGAATGCCGCCGTCTTTATGACTTTGGTGACAATGCCGGAATCGTGGAGATATGTGATCGAGATCTTCTCGGGTTTTTTCATGGCGACACAGTTGTTATCACCAACTTCGACTGTCACAAAACTTCTATGGCAGATATACGCTTCAGTGGTGTGTTAACCGATATAGGTATGTTTCTGCCTTTCTTTGCGTTCCGGCGATTTTTTTTATTTGCTTTTACTTTTTTTCAGTGTATGACCCACCTTACCTTGTTGGGTTATTGCCAAGAGGAAAAGCTGAAGTCAGATCACTAACCCCATCGTATCTCATTTAAGGTATGGCTCTCAGTAAAGCCTCGTTGCTCTGCAAAGGAAAGCCGTAAGTTTGCTCTATCTAAGCATTTCTGGATTATTTTGTGAATGAAGTGTATCCTGGTGCTTTGATTGTGTGTTCTCAGAGGCTATATCTTTGTCAGCAGTCCCTTCGACGTCTGGATGCTTGATCTTCACACAAACATTCGTAGGAATGTCTCTCTGCTCATTGTTGACAAGCAGTTTGAGCTAGCTATCCAGATCGGGTAGGTTAAATTATCCGTCTGTACAAGTCACAGTAATTTTTGTAACATCCTTATATAGTATAGTATAAAAGTAATGTCGAATATCTTCACGGAGGAGAACAAGGTTGAAATCAAGCGCCAGGCAGCGCTCAACCCCTTTGTCAGGAGGAAGTTTGAGGAGTCTTTCCAGCTGTATGCTGATATCAAAACAGGTAGTCTTATTTGTTGTCTTCGAGCTGTGATTCAATATCTATTTTAATGATTTGCGAATTAAAAAGCCCGGGCGTTGCTTATGGGGTGGAGGAAGGGGGGGATAGGGAATGGGTGGAGGGGGGGGTCGTGCCGAGGTCCGGCCCAGCGGGGAGGGGGTCGTATCCGACGGTCGTGTTCCGCACCCCCCGCTTTACCCTGGTGGTAAGTTGTTTGGCGATTGACGATCGTCGGTCGCTAATCGATACGTATCAAATGTGTAGTCGCCGACATTGGCGATCCCCAGTCGTAGCGACTGGCGATCGCCCGTCGCCAAGCTATACTCCTCGAGGCGTATAGCACCTACCTAACATCGGATTCGTGTGGAGGTGGAGCGGGGCGATTTTTGACAACGAGAGTACGAAAACCAATGCTATAATGTGAAGTCCATCGAGTTTGTTCTTATAATCAGGGAAAGTTCGCAATCCACCTTACACGAATCCAGGAGTCGATCATAGGACTCGAGACCGTGTCGCACACGTTGTCTAACAAACCTAAACTTGTTCATCCTCGATCCCTGCCTAAGATG